TATAACACATGTTCAATAAATGTTTGAGTTAATTCATTTAAATCACAAACAAATTATCTCTTAATTTTTCCCATCTCCCAAGCATCAGTGACATTGGTGAGGTGAGGTGCCTATGCACAGCCCAAAAGATACTAAAGGACAGTTCCCACCCAGCCTGTTCACCCTGCTGCCTTCTGGGAACAGATATAGAAGTTTCTGCTGTCGCACCACCAGACTACAGAGCAGCTTTCCCCCCAAAGCTATCGGCCTTTTAAACTCTAATTCATCCTCAGCACCCCTCCATTGAATATAGTTTATTTCTGTTTACCATTTTTATGATTGCTTTTATATTACTGTATATAGGGATACAAACTAAATTTCACTTTACAACCTGTTGTAATATATGTTGATAATAAACCTACCATGTACGATTTATTTTGTTCAGGAAAAAGGACTGAATAAAGAATTAACTTAATTTTACGCATGCATTGCCTATTTGTTGATCAGCCTTTAAACTTGAAAGAAATAGTGATTTGACATTCAAAGTGATAATCATCAACAGACTGATATTACATTTTTTTATCTTGATTGTTGGCTGACGTGCCGACTAAAACCAACCAAAACCTTCTGCACATACAAGAACCAAAAACCCTGGTTCACAGTGACACTCAGGCAGCTTTGTCAGACCAAAGAGGATCTTGTTCGTGGACTTAGCTCGGCGTTCAACACCATCATCCCGGACATCCTCAGCACCAAACTCACCCAACTCACTGTGCCAGCCTCCACCTGACAGTGGATCACAAACTTCCTGACTGACAGGAGTCAGCAGGTGAGACTGGGGAACATCAGATCCAGCACCCGAACTATTAGCACTGGCGCCCCCCAGGGATGTGTGCTCTCCCCACTGCTCTTATCCCTGTACACCAAGGACTGCCCCTCAGTAGACCCATCTGTCAAACTCCTGAAGTTTGCTGACGATACAACGGTCATCGGCCTCATCCGGGACGGTGATGAGTCGGCCTACAGTTGATCAGCTGGCTCTCTAGTGGGTTTAGCTTAACACGCTCAAAACTGTGGAGGAGGAGCCCCGCCTCCACTCTGCCCCCATCACCATACTCAACAGCCCTGTGTCTGCGGTGGAATCCTTCAGGTTTCTGGGATCCGCAATCTGCCAGAACCTAAAGTGGGAGCCTAACACTGACACCATCATCAAGAAGGCCCAGTAAAGGGTGTACTTCCTGTGCCAGCTCAGGAAGCTCAACCTGCCTAAGGTGCTAATGATCCACTTCTACACAGCCATCATCCTGTCTGTCCTCTGCACGTCCATCACTGTCTGGTTTGGAGCAGTGGACAGTCAGGACTGCAGAGAAGATCACTGGTGTGAACCTGTACACATACGTGCAAAATAAAACTGATTCTGAACTTATACAATTTGAGCAATTTACTTATCCACTTACTGGCAGTGTCTGCAGCCTGTTAGTTCAGCTTAGCACAAACAGCTAGCCTGGCTCTGTCCAAAGGTAAAACAAATCTGCAAACCAGCACCTCTCACTAAACACATTAGATCTCATTTGATTAATCTGCATATTAAAAAAAGTGTAAAAATAACAATTAGCCCGATACAGAGTTAAAATTTCTAGGCTATTCACAGTTGCCAGGCAACCAGTAAAGACTCCAGGAGGTTTAAGGTCACGAGTGAGAAATAGTGTGGTACCAAAGTACCTGTGAAACAGCAAATTAGCATTTTTGCTTTTCTGAAATAGACACACAAGATTTAACGTGTTGATTAGAGGTGCGTGGAGGTGGATTTTGTTACCATTTGACAGGGCGAGGCTAGCTGTTTCCTTCCTTTTCCAGTCTGTGTGCTAAGCTAAGCTAATCAGCTGCCATCTGTAATCTTATATTTAACAAACGTGTCAATCTTCTGATGCAACGCTCCCCCACAAAGAGAATAAATGTATTTCTAAATCTGTTGAATTGCATTCATCCACCGAGTTCCTCCAACGAACGCCATCTGGCTCTGCCATCCCTACAAACAAAGCAATTTCAGTCCTGGCTGTTCTCATCTGTGACACCACGATGGTGGAACGAGCCACCACATGCCATCAGAGCAGGGGCGTCCCTCTCTAACTTCAAGAAGCTTGAAAACACATCTCTTCTGAGAACACTTCCTCTTTTAACACCTCTAACCCCTAACATGCACTTCCTGCGCACTTCTTCTTCCATCGCCTAACAATTCTCATGTATTACTTACACTTTTCATTAACTATTCCTTCTTCCCCTAGTTATTTACCCAATTTATGCTTTATGTGCCAATAGCGCTTACTAGTATTTATTGCTGCTCTTACTAATATCTATTGTCACTTGTAGATCTCTTACATTACTGATGCTTGTATGTTGTTCCATAAATTTAAGTTGCTTTGAATAAAAATGAGTAAATGTATTCTTTTCTTTTAAGTGTCATGTTACTGACACAAGATAAAAACGTACCATCCTTTGGAACTTGAGGAGCTCCGTACTCAATGTTGTTTTCAGTGCCATCTTCAGTGGTTTTCCACAGATGACACAAAAGCGCAGGACGTGAATCAATCAGTTTGACCGTTTTAAGTAAAACACAAGCAGAAACCTGGTTCCAGGTGGGATTATGAAATTTATTTGCATTGGTAGGTGAAGGAAAGATTGTCAGGCGATCTTGTCTATTGTTCTACACACTGGTGATATCCCTGAGCTTGACAGTCTGGCCAACAGAAGACAAACTTTTACACAAGCTTTCAAGAGTACAGACACACACAGTGACAACATACTCATCGAGAAAACAAACTTGTTTAAGGCAAACTTTAGTAACTACGTTGAAACTTTGATTAAAAGCCTCGTCCCAATTAGAAGCCTCTCCCATTTACTGGCCTTTTGTGGCTAAACATTTTGACAAATAAACACAGGTCTCAATAAGAAGCCTGGTCTGATTTTTATAGAAGTTTTCAGTTGTATAAAGTTTCTTAAAGCCCAGCGGGTAACCTGCTTGAGTTAAACTGCTTTGATTGCGCACACAAATATAAATGTTTAAACTTTTGATTATATGGACATGTTCCACATTGGTTAGATTCACCACAATTGAATCGTTCAGTTCATTGTATAGAAACAATGAGCACCAAATTTATTCAGATTTTCCGACATGGTAAAAGGGAGACAAAAAAAAGTGGTGACACACTACCGATCAAATCAAAAAGGTTTTTCATAAAAGTGAATCCAAGTTGAAATAACTACAGTAACCTTTGGCTTTCATCCTGTCTACGGTAGTCTCTCTCTCTCTGCATGAGGTTGGCCTAGATGCGCCGTCTCTTAGAGCTAGGTCAAATGAATGTTTAATGATTGTTGATGATGATAGCCTCATTTTTATACAAGTAACATTCTTACTGGTGTAAATAAACAATTTCATAGATGCCTATTTACTGTGCAAGAGTTTTGTGGGAAAGGACTTAAAGGCCTGTCCCAAATATTGGCCGGGTGAGTTCAGTGATTTAAGCAAATAAAATATAGATTAAAGTTTTACAGTATGTGCATATGAGCTGTGGCTGCTGACACTGTCTCTTGTTATGTTATGAAAAGTTGTTCAGCTGTGGGTTTCTAGTTTTGGGTTATACAAAGAATTTCCAGCTATAGTACAAACTGTACAGCAGTTTAGTACATATGCAGATTATCAGATAATTTCCAATTTTCTCCTAAAACATGCACATAACTGTACAGACACATCTGTGTACTGTAGAAAATAAATGATATAAATCTAAATGTGACATTCTGATTGTTTGTAGTAAAGACTGTTCTTCAATGTATCATGTACCATTTACACCCATGGGAGCTGTCAAACTAAAACACTCAAGAGAAATGGACCTTTGGTTATGTCAATGTTGAGTCTTAAAGGGTCAGTTCACACAAATCACAAAAGTAATTTTTTTCACTAAAGCCAAGAATCCAACCACGCAGATGGTTTTCATTTCATGTGTCAAAATATTAAGATTTCTGCCTTCAAGCCAAATAAAATGTATGTGAATGGGATTTAGTTTGTAGTGTCTTTCCAGAAACAATCTCATACAGTTACAGTAGTAACATTTAAGTATTGCAGTGTATTTATTATTCTCATTTTATGAAGTTTTAGTTAGAACTTTATCCTAAATATATTATGACTTTGTTATCCAAGTATTGAGACCTTTTCTTGTGCAATTACCGCTGTCATATTTTTCCCCCCCACAACTTTACTTTAATAATATTTTGACTATTTGCCTTTACTATAATATTAGAACTTGTAATAATAATGTAGTATTTTGTCTTTATTGTTGAAGTATTACATGTCTTTCTTTCTCCAATACCAGTGAGCCAAGTGACATTATTCTCAAATTATTGAAAATTATCTTTTTTCTTATATATTCCAATTTTAAATGCATCATGACCTTACTCAAACTACAACTTTATTTTAATGATACACCAACTTTTTTCTCAGATTACTTACCTTATTCTATAAATCTCAAAACATAATAGTTCTCTAATATTCCATCTTAAGATAGGCATTCAAGGACAAATGTTTTTGTGATTTGGGTGAAGTGACCTGTAACACTGGTGCGTGGCATGCTTTGTTTTTCTGTTAATCAAACCAACAGTCAGCGTTCAGATAACGGTGTTACACCAAACCAGGCTGAACCTGAATTCATCCAGTTAAGACAATGACACTTTTCTGAAGCTGTTGAACATAAATTACTCTCACTGCAGTCACCACTTGGGATTGTAGATCTTCCTTAACCCTTTAAACAAACTGTAGCGGCTTAGAACAGTATCTGCAGATGGAACAGTTTGACGAAATCTAAATAAAACAGGCACAATATGCAAAAGCAATAAACTTAATAATTCTGTTGTTAAAGACAAACATGACCTCCACACTAATACAGGCCATCACCACAGGTTCTCCTCTTTAGAAGCAGCAACATGAAACACCAACTCAGTATGAGGTGATATAACAATCTCAGATGATGTAGGTAGTGAGCAGCAGCCACTTCAAATAAAAAGGTTTTTATTAACTGTCAGGGACAAACGTTTGATCTGATTCTCATCAGCCACCACCTTAAAAACTGTGACGTCATTGTGTGAACTCAACTTACACATTCAGTCCACGTGCACCTGCTTATGCTTCAGCAGGTTTGTTTTGGGGGAAACGCAATGTCAACCAGATAATTCATTAATGAACACATTTCTTAAAACAGTGATTCAATTAAGTAGCAGCACAGGAAGGAGTGTGACATTCACATAAATAACCGTCATGGCGTCAGGTATTTGATCATTTTAAAGGATAAGACTGGTGATACTCTGTATTTTTCTTATTGTCAACAAATCCTGTGAAAAGACCAAAACCAATCATGAATAAAGTATTTTCTGTGAATCTAGAGTCTGATATCTGTTCTTCCTCTGTGCCATACAGCTCCATTGTTGTCTAAAAACTATACAAAAACACATCAATGAGCCGCACTGTTGCACTGAGTGACATGTCGCTTCGTTATCACACACACACACATTTTGACTGAGTGCTAACCTCATCCATTTCAAAAACATTTCCTAAAACTACAGTACATTAAAGCTACATTTTTGTGAGGTGTTTTTTTTTTGTAGGAACCAATGAGTTTGAGTAGGACAGTCAGAAAGTTTTGAGATACTAACTAACAAAAGGTTTTGGTCTTTTCACGAAATGTGTTGACATTAACAAAAGTATAGAATACTAATACTAGGTAGAGATAAGGGACCAAAATAAAAAAACAGCGCAGAGTAGCGGAGTGATCTGTGACTTTGATCTGGTCCGAGTACAGTAATTCAAAGCAGTCAGAAGGAAAGAGGACAGACGTGTTCACATCAGGCAGCTTCACTTAAAAACATCTGGAGCTTTGTACCTATCACCAGCAAAATTTGAGGAAATCTGAGCATCAAAGTTCATTCTTCACCTAAAAGGCCTACTTACTAGCTTCTGGACCTTTAATGCGTACCTGCATAGCTTTGAATGTTAGTAAGTGAATCTTTGAGTTAAAATACATTTGTTATATGTTTAAAAAAACTGACTGTGGCTGTTGTGTCTTTTCCTCTTGTGCACGTCCTTATCTTTTTACAAGAAAAAGCATAAATTAGAGGAACTCTATGAAGAATTAACAAAACTATCACTTTCAGAGTGAAAATATTAGCAGAAAACATTACATATGATAATAAATACACACAAAAGTCCTACCCAAACTTGAACACTGTCCCAAAAATCCCATGTGTACTTTAACAAAGTGCATTCAGTTCACAAACTGAAAAACTAAAACCTTTGCAGAAGAACATTGTGATATGTAAACGAAAAAAAAGGTAACAAAGTCGACATTACGTTTCCTCCAAAAGCGCATTTTGCTGATGTGAAACACTTGCACAGTTTCATGTAACGTGTAGGAGATGAAGTTCAAAATCATATACATGAAGGAAAGGAATTTTTTTAAACTTGAAAGAGAAGCACAGACAGAATAACAGTTTGATATTTACAATAGCAAAAGGTAACGTTATGCAAATATTACAAAAATTATAATCATGAAAAGCAAGGAGTTTGATTCATTTCCTATACATTTTCTTTGCACATGAAACGTTAAAACACACTTAAGTTTAAGTTTCTCTTCTTTAACATACCGAGTAGCACCTGTACTCTCCTGAAATATTTGCTCTGTGTAACCATGAGTTTGTCTGAAGGAGATTTCTTATTATTGGGGGGCAGAAGATGAAACTGGTACAAATTCAATTCTGCACTGGTGAAAAAGAAACAATGACAGTAATACTCCAGTATCTTATTATATATTATTTGTCCTCACATTCAGTTGGCTGAAGCGCATACTTTACACCACGTCATCCCCTGCATCGCTACGTGGAAAACAGAGGGAAGAAAAAGATGAGTGCGACTAACAGGAAGGGACAGAGTCAGTAATGGCCGGCGTGTCCTCAGTGAGGAGCTGCACTGAGCACTGAACAAGGCTTGATTTTAAAAACAAAAATATGAAGATGGCAGGCAATCTGGTTGCAAACACTGACACAGTAACGCACCAAGTCAAAAAAGGAAATGATCTGCAGGAGAGAAAGAAACACCATCAAGAACAGGAGCTCTGCACACAGTGAAAACACATTACTGACAGGAAAGGGGGAAAAAATGGTTTGGTAAAAAGTTTTACTTATCTCATAGTTTTGACTTACTATCAGTTTAAATTTAAAATCATACTTTAGACTTGATGTCATAATTACCACTTGATTATAATTTTATCATGTCATAATTTTATCTTTGTTGATTTAGTATTTCAGCCTCACTATTATGACTTCATATGTATTTGTCTGATAAAATGGACTTGGTGTGTAACACATTTAACTTCTGATTTACTCAAAATTCTGAGACTGAGATTTTAAGTAAAATGTTTGACAAAACAAAGTCAAAATAATTTGGTTTAGATACTCAGTATCTCCTTTTCTCATTCATTTAATTAGAATCTCTGCCACATTATTTACCTTTTACTTAATATGTCATAGTCTCATACTTATAACTTGTATTTCAGTACAATTTCATCTATAATAATGTTTTTGACTGTGTCTCACACTTTCTACCTAGTATCTATCTGATTTAGTATCTCGTGCTTTTGACATACGACTCATAACTGTGACTTTAAATCTTGCAGTGTAACAATTTCAACTATCTCATTTTAATTTAGGTTGTCATACATTTGACATAGTAAGACATAACTCACAGTAACTCATAATCTAAAAAACACATAACTGTGACTGAACATCTTGTAGTTTAATAATTTTTACTTACCATCTCATAATTTTAACTTTTGACAATTTTCTTTTCATAGCAGTTAGCATCACACAGTATCACTGTGACAATACGTGAGTCTATACCAGCATCACTGATTAAACATGACCTTAACTGACTACATATTGACATACATTATGTACATTTATTCAAAGCATCGTGTGTACTTACCAGTGCAATCCACAGCACCAGGTACTCATCAATAAAACTATTGAAATACTGATCCAGGAACAGTAGTCCTGGTCCCAGGAAGGCTAAATCGTGGAGATGCATCTCACTTTTAGTCATATGTGCTACCTGCGGACAGACACACAGTCAGCATGACACATCTACATTATTTAGATGACTTACAGTAAGTACATTTGTCAGAAGAAAGTGAAAAAGCAATATCACTTCATCTTCAACTTTTACATTTTCTCTTCATTTCACAGAACCAACATATTTTTTAACATAAGCACAAATAACAATAATGTATAATAAAAACAAAAGCACTAAAATTTGTGAAAATTGCAAAACATTAAAGCTGTTTGAAAAGAAGTTTGGAAAGAATTCAAGTTTCAGCTACACATAATGTGAGTAAACTTTCTATGTCACAGTTTGGTAGCCTGATCAATGCTGAAACAGATGCATTAGAGAAAATAGTTCACACTGCATCTTAAATTACTGGCCACTCCCTCCCATCTCTTTGAGACCAAATGTTAACAGTGCACTGTGTGTCCATACGGTGTTGTGCATAAACGTGTTTAAGAGCGCCATCCGTTGAACATGCTCATGTTTTTGGTGAACTAAACCTATTAACGTGAACTCACACACTGTTATATAAAACTACTAAGAGAAACAAGAGAAAGGAGAACACGTGGAAGAACACGATGCCAGGAGGAACTTAGATTTCACTTTCACTTTCTGGCCGAGCTATTACATAGGCACACTGCTGAAGAGAGAAAATCCATGGAGGAAAACAAATCATGGTGGAAAGGTATTATACAGTCTATAGTTATACAGCCTTTCTGGACCCGTGCAAACGAGGAGGGTGTGCCGTTCGGTTGTTTAACAACCGGATTTCGATTTGGACACGCGAGACGCATATCAGGCTAAAATGTATTAACGTTAAAATCACATCCAGACTGTACGCATTTTAATGCCAGGTGTAAATAGCCTATTTGTTTAACTTCAGCTTCACCAAAAGGTACTTTCAGTTATCCAAACAAAAAGTCTAATTATTGTTTTTAGTCAAATGTTCCACTTTCTTCACCAGCTAGTCGCTAACTTTGTCAGCAGTCTGATATTTTCCATGAAATGAAAAAAGTCCAAAAGTAATTACCATCTTAATTTTGACAATATGGACTAAAACAGCAAGGTTTTCCATTTTTAGATTATTCCTCTGTGACCACAGCATTATGTTTGACCTGTTTCTTATAAAAGTAGGTTTGACTTACTACTAATTTATTGGTGATTTTGGCCGAGACGAAGCCAAACGCCAGGATGTAAAGACACGGATGTTTCTCGAAGAGCTGGACAGCAGACTTCTTGTATATCATCATGGCCAAAATTATAACCGAACCAATATGCAAGACCGGAGAGAGAACACTGGTTCCCTGAGGACAGAGACACAAAAACACAGACGGTTACTGTCAGAGCTGGTATTGGCACATTGTGTTTATACAGTCAAATGTTAAGTACCATAAGATTTTATCATATTTCGCAATGGCTGCTGCTGTATAGCTGTCACTGTAAATATCAAAACGAAACAGAGTAGTATTGCATACACACACTGGCTTGCGATAAAGCTTAACGTTTAAGTTATCCAAATTATTGTTAATTAACTACAGTTCATAAAAACTAAAAATGAAAAGCCTGCCGTCAGCTCTGAGATTAAGGACGTGTGGGTGCAGGAAGACATCATTGATGGGACGGTGAATGGTGTTTCAGTGGGTTGTTCTGGACATTCTACACATTATTCATATCAGCCATTTACTGGATATTTCTTATTTACAAAAGATCAAAGATGCACGCAGCTGGGTTTAAAGATCTGCCTTTGAATTCTCTGAGGCAAATTTCTGATTTTGGCCTAATTAAATAAAAACTGATTAACAATGTAACACAAATGAAAATATGACATTTTCACTATTTGAAAACAAAGTTCCGTTTGTTCAGGCGAGCTAACAGCACAATGGCTGGTAGCAGTGATAATGCTAACAGAGACTACACAAACTTGGCTCTGTAAGTAGTGAGCCAAACCATCAACAAGCATTAAAAGCATATACATATATTATATCAGGTTCTGGGACAAAAACAACTCTTCCTCATCATAAGATCTTGTTTTCTACCCTCTGCACCGATTCATCAATATCCAGGGAGACAGGACAGCAATCTGTTCTTTGATCGCCAACTTATCAGGGGGAGCGCCGATGTTTCCAGACTTACTGCTATTGTGGATCCGTTTTTGCCCACACCTCCTGTAAAAATAACTCTGAAGTAATTGGTGCAGGAAAAGATGGCTCCTAAAAAAGTGCAGATGGCAGGAACCATTTTCATCTGGATATTTAGGATTGGAATCTAGAAATAAAAACATTAAAAACACTCAAATGAAGAAATGATAATACAACACAGACATTTACATCAAAAGGTGCATATATCATAATGTAATTATTCGGCTATTTTTGTATTTTGTGAGTAAATTCACCTTTACATCCACAATGAAAGCATCATGAGTAATGTTAGAGAATGATAAACGTGTTCAGAGTGACATTCTTTGCATTTCCGATAATAATTATAGTAAAACAGTCAAAAAAAAAAATGTTAGAGCAGCATTTTAACGTAAGTTCAAACGCAACCAATTACAACCAACATAAACATCAATGAATAATCATCAATCTCATTAATCTCAATCTGTAGGAATTAGAACCGATCACAATTACCAGTGACTGCCAAAAAGCCGATCCTCCCACGGCGGCCAGCAAATACATGATTATTATGAAGATTTGCACCTCAGTCACATCAATGCTGAGCGGGAGGAGAAAGCAGAGAGTTCACAGTGAGGATTAGTGACATCTGCCAGCACACAATCTTCCTACAACCTTCCTCCACAACACACTGCTGGACATGGAGCTGATGGGACGCTGTTATTCTTCTGCACCACAAATTTAATTAGGTGGTTAAAGATTCAACAAGAAAGAAGCTGCATTAAAGATGAAATCAGTAATATTAACTGGCTCCTCTGTGACTGGACAGCTGATAGATTTTAGTTTCTTATCACTATTACTACCCGGCAACAAGAGACGTTTTTACATTTCTGTTTGTATGCAGATTTAAAAAAAAAAAGAGATACGTGTTAATTAGCAAACTTTAGAGGTGTTGGTAAGTGTAGTTTTGAACCAAGCTAGCCGCTTTCCTCTGCTTCCAGTCTTTATGCTAAGCTAGGCTAACTACAGCCTGACTCCAAATCTGCACTGAACACACAGACAATTAGTGAACAATTCTAGATAAAAAGTTTTTAGAGCTTTGTCTGACCAACACTTCAAAACCCAAATACAATTGTATGAAACCGAGAAAAGCAGCAAATCGTATTTATAGGTGGGCGACCTACGTAGCTAGGTGATGTAACATAGTATGCTATTCACTAATATTCAGCATGTATCTCATTGTCGTCTTTGAAATTTGAAGATGAAACTTTGAACTGCTAGATGAAGATTCGTGTCGGTCTCTACTTAGTGACAATGATATTTGTCAGAGCCTCATTTAGTGAAGACAAGTAAAGTCAAATCCCAATTTAGAATTTACAAATAAAAACAATGGGAGTTGTAGCAGAGATCATGCAGTTTCCCTCAGCTGATGCTACCGGAGAGCTGTATTTTACTGACTGCACCTTTAAGCAGAAAAAACTGTGAATTTAAATTCTCCCTGTGAATCCCTGGAGGTCAGCGGACGTTGTGGAAGGAGGTAGCAGTGAGCCATGCAGCAACAGCCAGGAGGTTTACCATCATGTTCCACAGGCAGGGACCCACTGTGGCTGTGAGCATCTGTAATCCTGCTAGACAGAGCTGCAACTCTGTTATGTCAAATCTACACACAGAATACATCCATGTTTACTTCAGCTCACTTGCCCATGTAACCACTTTCAGCTCATGAAATCACTAACACTAAAGTATAACTAGTTGATCTAGTGTCTAATAAATAAAGTGAACAAAACATGTCTTCAGCTTGGATAAACTTAACTCACGTAACTCAATGTCCTTTTTTCAGCACTCCACTTTCTTCATACTTCTAGTCTGTTTTGCCAAACTTAGAGGTGTCACTGACTTTGGCAATTTACGTGATTGACTTTCTGAATGTTGAGCGAGTGATCGAATTAGTGCATATAATATTACTGCTTTAGATAAAAGGATGAACTACTGTATTGGTTTAACAAAATCAAACCTATGGGAGATTCAAGTCTTCATCTTAATATCAACCACAGCAAAAAATAAAAAACACCCCAACCAAACTTGGCAGCTGTGATTCTGTTGAACTGCGTGACTGTGCTGAATGTAAGAACACATGAATCCATGAGTATAGATGAGACATGATATATAGATGATTGTGTTAAATACAAAACAAATCTATTTTGCGATCATTACTGAAAACTCAGGTATTGGTGGCTGTATTGAAATATAACACTCAGACCTGCTTAGCTAAACTGCTAAGAGGAGCATACTTATTAGCCAAAAGGCTGGAAATTATCCGTCTTGCTTTAAAAACAAAAACACAAAGCATCAGTCATACACAAGAGGCAAGCAGCTTTTGTTAACTCACATGCCGAAGCGCAGCGTTCCCGACACGTATGTTTGCCAGTGGGCGCAGTAGAACATAAACATCCCGGCGAAGCAGCAGAAGAACATCCAGTCGGGGTTGGTACCCATCTGTACTGCTATACTGGTTCCCAACACCACAAATACTGCCGAGACAAACGGAAGCAGTGTTAAAAAGGGCTTCAGATTCACAGAGACACAGTGGAACAAAGTCAAACAGGACAACACTCACCGGTGGAGAGGGAGTCACAGCCATGGTCAAACAGCTCGCCCAGCGGAGAGCTGCTGTTGGTGCGTCTGGCCTGCTTGCCGTCAATGGCGTCCAATGACTGATAGATAAACAGACCCACAGCACACAACAGGTATGCCCAGAGAGGAGCCTGAAACAACACACATTCACGTAGAGCAGAGGTCACTCCCCTGCAAAGCCTGCAAACACACAGCTGAAGCGAATGAGCTCCAGATCAGGTGAGATCAATATATATAATATACAGCGTGTGATACTGACACCAGGAAACACATCACAGTCCACACAGGGTCTGCTTGATAAGGCTTAAGGAATTCCTTAGATATAGCATATTGACTTGAGCCTATTCTACTAGCAACAAAGCCCACTGTATATCGCTTCAATCATTCAACTAGTAACAGTATCTTTTTTTACAGGCACTATTTATTTATTCTGTCAAAATATAATGTCCATACAGCTAGCCACATCCATTCACAGAAAAACATCATCGCTGATTAAGAGTCATCCTAAAAGAAACACACACACACACACACACACACACACACACACACACTTCTCTTTCATAATTTACATTTGAAGAGTAATATACTATGGCATTTTACTGCAATCAGCTGAATTTAATATGAAAAACGGTGGAAACTGGACTACAATTTGAGCTTCGTGGGAGTCAAGTATAACGGACGTTACCGGCGGGATTAATAAATAAATAATACAAGCCTGGACAGAAACTTCATTGCTCATTACGTGGTCAACACTTTCTCTCTCACACAGCAGCCCACTACTTGCCCCAGATGTGTGTGATAATGCAACAAAGTTTAAGTTTTAAAATCCTGAAATAAACCAACAAAGACTACTGCTCAAGGAGAGATGCAAACCCGCCCTTTATGGTATCATATTAATTATTATTAATCATGCCGTAATGACATTCATGTGGTGCGCAGCATAGTTCGTTTGGAAAACGTGTTTATTTTAGTGTGTTTATCTAATGTACATTTGTGATTAAAAATAATGATTGTTGGTAAATGAATTACTGACCCCCACAGATGCATGATTTTACTGCTTCAATAAGAGCTCAGACCCTCCTTATGGGCCGTAACTAGAACCCTGCTGGACTATGTGGACTATCAAACTGTAAAATCCGTAAAAATGAACACACATGCAATACAACTTGTATACCTGTATCGATAATTTTGTAAATATCCACTTTTTAAAAATGAATGGAGACAATGGCCTACTGTAATAATACTTTTACTTTATTCACTGTACACACACAGATTACACAGTTAGAAAAGGAGTTGGCAGCAGTGACTGATTTGCATTATCCAAAACATTTTCAAAAATTCTGAATGCATGGGTCTTGGCATGTTCCATCAAAATATCTACCACATCTAAATTACGCAAATTAGGATATGCCAACAGTGGCTGTGGTGAGGAGTAGTATCTTTATGTGGATAACTGTTTCAATAACCGTGTTAAATATCTGCTCCAAAACAGCTGATTCAAACTATCAACTCCTTATGAATCCTGAAGCTGCTTCAATCAGCTGTGTTGAAGAAAGGAGAGAGTAAATCATGCAAGACAGGAGCTAACTTTCTTCAAGAAAGGGTTGGGAAAAACTGTCGTAGTACATAAACTTCAATTCAACTAAGATCAATTCATCCAGCCAACAAAGTCTAATCTTCAGACAAATCACAGGTCCCTTGTCATTGTTGTTTTGGAGGTCTGTTTCCCAGAACTGCACCCTTAATGTAAGACCTGTAACCGTCCCCGTAATCAAATATGAACCAGAGCTGGCTGCTGGGCAGTATAGCCAAAAGCTCAGGGCCCACAGCAGCTGGATGAAATAGCTATTGATAAATACTGTCAGTAAACAAAAACACTGTAATACATGCAGACTGCGGAGGCTTCACTTGCATCTCCACCTGCTCAGATGAACTTGATAACAGAGAATCACACTCAGACCTCTCCAAAATCCTGTGTATTTAAGTACAACTGGAAATGTTTACTCACTGACCTTGCATTACGCAGAGGTGAACTGTTCCAAAAGATTTGGAGTGAAGCAGCCAACTTTTTACTTACCATATTCTTACTTTAAGCACATCTCCACACACCATGTGTTTGTTTAAATTTGAACCAGGCCGCTATTTGATCATATTGTAATAAGAAGCCTTTTAATTTGCTTCAAATGCAAATTCATCACTTCGTTTATATTACCAACTACTCTGCTGCTCCCGCTGTCTCTTTTCAACAAAAATACTGCATGGTCTAATTCTAATTTCTTCTCCTTAGTTTGAGAATGAAGACTAACCTGTTCAGTGGCCGTTGGGCAGTAGTAGATCAGCACGAGGGTGGTGAAGACGTTGGTGGCCAGGCCGATGATAGTGATGAGGTTGGGTGCAATCCAAGAAGGGACTCGTCCAACCAACCATTCCCAGTAACGCTGCATCAGAGGCTCCAGCAGGGAGCGTCCTGCACTGCTGTACCTGCAGGGACAGACAACAGGTGAGACCTTTACCCAGAGACCTGTCCCCCAGGAAGGACCAGAAATAATGATGACATTATATGTGAATGACTAGGGCTGGGTGATAATATTATGTTGATTATGGCGTAAAGCCTGACTGTTTTGTGGTTTGTATGATTTTAATGGTTGAATAAATAAGGAGTCCAACAGAGAGGCAGATCTTTTTCTAAATAAATACTCTAGGTGATCACCTCACATCAACTTCAGACAGGTAGCGTGTAGCTGTGTCATATCATTTTAAACTGATCACCTTAAAGCTCTGACAGGATTCAAAACTGTGAAATTAACGTTAGCTCAAGCAGCTACAGAGTACGGCTGAACGATATGCAAAAACAAAAGTCACACTGCGACTTTTTTTGACATATATTGCAACTAGTCTCAATTTTGGGGAATAGTAATTGTTGCATTTCATTCCACTGAAAAAAAAATGTAAAAACTGATGATGAAAATTATGTGATTTTTGCTGGGGTCTTTACCAAACAAGCATGTCCCCTAAAGCCTGGAGAATGATATAAAAGCCAAGGAACCCTGTCACACACAGTCCTTTCATACAGCCGTACATATGACGCCATCTACTTAACGCACACTGAACCCATCCTTATCAGACTGCTTGACCTCTAGGCATTACTGTACAGCTCATATTTATCCCATAACACTAAATAATCCCAAGTAAGGTTTACTACAGCTGGTCTCAGTCAGTAGAGCAGGGATCAACGTTACCTGTGCTCCTCCAGTCTTTTAAGCTGGTGTCGAGACAGGGGAGGTGAGGGCAGCTCTATAAGCCTGCGCAGCACTCCGGGGGCCAGCCAGCAGGCCGTCTCCATGCCCATGCCCTGCCCGGGGTCTTTGTCCCGGCTAAGGCCTCGGCGAGAACGCAGCCCCCCCGCATGCTGCTGTCCCGTCGTGCTCATGGAGCCCTGCTGCCTGCTGGTCTGGTCCCCGATGGTTCTGGCTCTGCCTCTGCCACTGTCCTGCTGGAGAGGCTAAAGATCCACAGTGGGGCTGGGTGAGGCTGGACAATACCTAAAAAAATATAGAATAAAAAAAACATTATCCCACTAACTTCCTGCAAAAACATCATAATATATGAATACAGCTTCAAAAAAGAGCATAACACAGAAAAGCTATAAATGCTCACATAGAAGCTGCAACCCGAGAATGGCTGATGTTTTGGCTTTAAAAATTACTTACGCGGTAAATCGATAATCGACAATGATCAAAGAGCAGTGGACGTCAGCACCTGGGGAGTAAAATGGTGATAAACTGCCCTGAACTGTCACGGGTGTCACTGTCACATGTTATTGTCAGTACTATTGATTACATCAGGAGTGCACCAAGTCACTGATCTCTATGAGATGTTACACCCGGTCTGAAACATCAAATATATCTGCAGACAAGACATTAACAGCATTTTAATCAGCTGTACACATCAAAGACAATGTGAAATATCCGTATGTGTGTTAACGTTACCAAGCTATTTCTTGTTAGTGTCAGTAACACAGGAAACAAACACCCCACTTCAGCGTTTTGCTAATACTGACTAGCTTCCTCGCTGCTAACTTAGCGTCAGTATTGCTGATGTTGAAGATTAGCATTAGCTTGGCTGTTTATAACGTCTCTCTTAGCAAGTAACGTCAGCTAACAAAGTCTTGTCACTTTGTTATTTTAAAGTTACTCGCTTGCCGTTGGCTTGTTATTAATTACTTCATGCTTGCATTGATGGAAATATATTTGTCTCATTTCAGATACTGATTAAATCGGACTTTACTTCTGACACCTCCAGTGAAGACTGTGGCTAGCTTCAGCTAGCTTCACTAGCTAACCCAACGACAGCTAGCGAGCTGCTGAACTGACGGATGTAACGCTAACACCGACTGACCTGGCCGATTAAAGGACGAGAGCCGCGGACAGTCCGAGGGTGGTGATGACGCTTCAAGCCGACAGACAGGTCCCCTCTGTAGACAGTTAGTTTAGAGTTTCTCTTTATGACTGAAGAGTACCGGAGGGATGTTTGCAGCTGTAGGTGGATCACCACGACCGGTGTCACTGTAGTTGTCACAGGAAGCTACTTAACGTTAGCCACCACAGAAATCTCGCGTAGATCTGTCTGTGTTCAGGTGTTTGTGCCCTGAGCGTGATCTTCCAGGCAGGCAGACAAGGCTGTGGTCGAAAGGTGAAAATAAAATCCCTGCCTAACCAAAGGTTTTATTGATGCAAAGTTCATTATGGCAACGAAACTGCATAGACTCTAGAGCTTTTTTTGCTTTTTTATTGAGGTGCAGTAGTGTTTCAGTTCAGTAAACAGCAGTACACCAACAGTAAAGCAATTCAAGCAGGCTTGCTTCCAGTAATGGATAAATAGTAATAATTATGAGTACTGATTGAGTTGGAATAGGTTAAAAATCCATAAAAATTGCAGTACTGGGACAGAGTAAACCAGAGTATTGCAAACTAGTTGAGTATTATAAAACAGAGAATATTGCACAATATGTCAAGTATTGCACTACAAGGTCCCGTTAATGATTTAAAGACCGTGTGTCTGACACTGTGTCTGAGGACCACAGACAGAAATGACTTCCTGTGGTGCATTTTGGAGGCATGATTTTTGCACTGAAAGTACTCTTTTATTTGACCAGCATGTCATGGAGTGGGTGGGAGACATTGTTCAAGATGATGCAGCCTGACACCACCGACAAAGTCCAGCCCCCCCACAATGTCACTGGCCTTGCAGATCGGTTTGTTGGGTATCATGGCTGGAATGGCTTAATAGTGTTGTGTGAAGGGTGGGGTGCAAACCACTTTGTTTGTTTCCCGTTTACAGAGCCAGGGCTGTGTACAAACTCCAGATTTCTTTTCAGTGCAGATACAGAACAGACAGCCAGAGGACCCTGAGGAGATATTCACTGAATTTGACAAAAAGATCATATATTAGATTAAATTCGCTTACCCCACCTTTAAGCAAGAAAGTTGACAAACAAACACAGACCTCAATCATGCATCCACAAAGTTTAATAGAAATGTCCACACAATACAATTACAGGCATTCAAATCATTGTTATACAACTACACATCTCTTTATACATGCACAAAGAGAATTAATCAGACACTTTGTATTCATAAATATCATTCCATACATCGAGTTATATCTAGTCTTTAACTTCAGATCACATTATGTAGCCTACTGTTTATTATAAACTCTGGACTCTGAACAAGAGATGTAAACATGATTCCATCACTGCTAAGTAAAAGTAGTCAACAAAGTACTGAAGAAACAACAGCTGTAATAGACTCTACTACACCTTAGTATTATCATACACTAAGCAATAACGGCAGCCAAGAAAAGACCAATGATCATCATGCACACACCCACATGCTGACAGCTGCATTACGTTGCATAAAATCCAATGGTGATGATAAAAAATATTTAATACACAAACAAGTATAAGATCTAAAGGATTATACTGTGTCAGTTCCCTTTCTATACTGCACCACTGTGGAGGCTTTTCATCCTGTCCATTCTGCAAGTGAACTAGTTGTAACACAACTACACTGTAAAAAAAAAACAAAAAAAAAACAATATATATATATATAATATAAATAGAGGACAAAATCCACAGTCCTAATTCTGTAAATTTCAGCTTAAGATAATATGAAGCTTTTAGCAATCTGAGTTGAACTGCTCAACACTGCTGTTGTGTTCTTTATCTCCACCTCATTCATTATTTTCTCAAATCAGTTCTTATGTGTATTTGCTTACGTCTTACACCTACAACCACATCTTTTTTGCATGTAAGTGCCTATATTCATCTACTATACTTAATTTAGACAAAATCTATGTTTGTGTTTTGTTATTTTTAGGTAGCCTAGGACTCTTGTTTGGGTCTCTGTGTCGAGGTGACACAACAATGCAACCCTGTGTTGTAGAAATTACGTTTACGTACTAGTTTGCCAAAAACGTTTTTAAGAAAATGTAACTGTTCCCTTAGTTATATTCAGAGGCAATGGTTTTTCAAGTGAATGAAATACCTCAGTTTGTTGTACCACACAACAGTCATAGTTGAGGTTGATGATGGACCAATTTCAGTACTCTAACACCGGAGACTGCAGTTCATATCCTGACTCCAGTGTGTGTTAGGTTTGGGCTGGAATTATGCTTTGCTGAATAGACTTGTAAACATCTCTGCAAACCTACGCAGAGAAGGGTGTTATGGGTGTAGGCCACAGAGGAGCTTGGTTGATTCAACTCCTGTCGAGCAGCTGGTTCAAAATAGAAATGAGAACAAACGTAAATGTGCTACATGTAAGTATGAAAGAAATATCCAAGCAACCCACGTGCACGTTCGCCTCCATGCAGACAGGAGAAGCATAATTCTAGCTTTAGGCAACAAAAGCAATGGTGTACGGGAAACGTTGTGGCTTTGGTTATTTGTAATTGAGGTAAATGTGTTCTGTCTCATGCTTTATGTCACCTTGGACTCTTTCAATATTTAACAACATTTAACAACTTTCCTTAACCATAACCAAGTGCTGTGAGTGCCTCAACATAACCATGAAAAGAGTATAATATTTTAGAGGATAAAGTATTGCAATACTATTGAAGATTTTTGGATTTTAGAAAAAAAAGAAAAGCGTATAAATAGCGTTCCTCACTATGTTGATAAAAAATAAAATTCAGGGGCGTTAGTTTTTCTCTGCAGATGTGTGTGTATGGTGCAAGGTATATGAAACCAATTTTTAGGATTCAGATTCAAATGAAGAGCTGCAGTCTATGTGTATGAGACGTTACTCTTTCTCAAATGTCACTAACATTACGTTCACATTAGCCCTCTGTCCAACAAAGCTGCGGTCACAGGTCTGATATGGGTATTAAATACATGTTAAGCAGGGCGACCACAGTGTGAACTGTGTATGAAAGTGAGGCTGCAGTTTGTAGTCTGGAAGTGTGATTATAAAGGAGCAAAAGTAAATATGATAGTAGTATGGCTTAGTAATAAAATGGAAATTAATGTAATGTAATGATCCAATCTATGAGAGGGACAAAAATTACTCTACACACTGTCCTGAGTTTTGTGTTTGTTGACAAGTCATCATGTCTGGTCATGAGACGTGTGCAGATTATACTTTTTTTTACGCTGTCCCTCACCTGTTAGCCAGGTAGCTAACACTAGCTAGCTAACTGTCTGCAGACACAGAGCAGATGAATCGGTGAGTGGTCTGTCCGCGCTCAAACTGATAATAAAAGTGGATGTTTGTGCTAAACTTAGTTAAAACATTTGGTTGCGTTTAAGTCAAAACTGTAAATCATCTTGTGCTTGAAAACATTTACATTTTTTGGTTGTGTCACCATGTCCTTAATGTATAATGTAATTATACTTTAAGACAAAAAGTGTTTCTGTGGCACGGCCTACTGCTAAACTACCTCCAGGCAGCTCAAACTCAAAGAAATCTTGACAGAGAATGGGTGTCTTGGCACTATAGATGTTCTTGTCGTGGTGCTTTTAGGGGTTTCATTGTTAAAACGATGGACAGAAATAATTATTTTTCATGAATGTGTACAGTAGCTTCATGTTTGTGCATCAGTGTGATGTTAGGGCTCTCTGTCGGGCAGTTGAGTCAGATATGGATTAAAGAAGTCTCTCAGGAGGCTCTGTGCCCGTGTGGGCTGGGAGCTCCCAGCAGCAGGGACCAGAGCCGGACTCAGAGCCAGGTCCAGGGCTTTTGTGGGATTGAAAGCAGCAGAACGTGTCTGGGCAGTGTGGAGACCCTCGATGGCACTGGACAGCCAGATGAGTCTTTTGAGACTCTGGATGCTTCGGCCGCGGTCATGCATCAGCTGGTGTTCGCTCACAGCTCTGCGACTGCACGTAGAGAAAGGGAAGGATCTGTTATTCAGGACTGGTACACCCTCAGTACAGGTCCTCACAATTCAGTTAACACTCAGAAATCAGACGTTTTATCCAAATACATTTAGATTCAAAATACATGTATGGAAGCAAAGAAAACTACTTACAGTGAACAAAATTATAAACAAATCACTTTTGTTTTTGCCCCCATTCATCTTGAACTGAACTCAAAGATCTAAGACTTTCTCTATGTACACAAAAGGCTTATTTCTCTCAAATATTGTTCACAAATCTGACAAAATCTGTGTCAGTGAGCACTTCTCCTTTGCTGAAATAATCCATCCACCTGGCATATCAAGATAAAGCTGAAGAACACCAAACATGTTCCTACTTCTACGTTTATTAAGTTACTTCACTTTTTGTGTCAGAGCTATTAAAAATCCTTCACAGCTTGCAAGAAGTGAAAATGTCAAAATTAGGCATCTTACCTCTCGTTCTCTTGACACTGGGTGGTTGTAAAGACGACAAGAAGCATGACAGCGAGCCATTGCACAGGCCTGTGGGACATCTGCATCTTCTGTCACACAACAGCAACAAACAATCACATCAAAACTCTCCATGTAAAAGAAAAAAGAACAGGGAGCATCAAGAAACACTTCATGTCAGTTAGTCAGATCAGCAGTTCTTGGCTCGTGAACCCTGAAGAAGTATTTACTTGAAGTATCTACAGTACTTGCATCCTCTCATCATTGGTCACATATATTATGGTTACAGCAAAAAAAACAAAATGATAAAAGACTTGACTCTGTAGTACCCCAAAAAAGGCACAAATCCACAGTGAATATCCTTGATTTAATCTATATATGCTGGAATCTGCCTAGAACATCCCACCACGAGTACATTTTTAACTGTCCAATGTAAACTCCTCCTAAGTCGCTGAAACTCTGGAGATTTGACACGTTTCTGTGGATGTTTGTAGCAAAGGGAGAGAGTAGTCACCCCACCCGGATCGGAACACAGGTCTACAGGGTACCAAGCATGCAACTTTGACCACAACGCTAAAGGGCCAGAGTCGTTGGTACGGCAGTCAGAGCGCATACTTAACCGTAGTGACAGTTATCCGTCACACTGCCCTTCCCTTCAGGAAGCCCTTCCATGCGCAACAAAGGCATCTCTCACACATCCCCCAATCATACGGTTCACACTGGGCACACCTCCGATGGCAAGCAATCCATCCAACTTCTGACACCATATGTAGCGAAGGGAGCGAGTAGTCACCTTACCTCGATTTGAACATGGGTCTACAGGTTTTTCTTTATATTTGAACAATGTTTTTTTTAATTTATGGCAAATGTTTAAAAGGTTGTGGTTCTTGAAAGCAGGTGTGAAGATAAGAGTCCCCAGAGTCTCCCAAATCTCAACAGCAAACCATGAGAAAAGAAATAAATCTAAATATTAAAACAGCCTTGTGAATGTCTCAGAATGACATCTGTGTGTTTGTCTTCTTCCATCCACTAATAGAAATGAATATTACTCTGATTGTCTACTCATTCATTTTCCTTTTTTTATGCCACGTTAATCTGACAAACAAAAAATAAAATTTTAGAAAGTTAAACTGAATTTTAAAGTTCGCTTTTTAACTGGAAAATACATAAAGTCATACTTTTTTAACTTTAAGAATTTGCTTGTTTCACAGAGACAGACCTGTCGTACATAAATCACCGCCTTTACAGATGTAAATTTGACAGAATAGAATAAAAACACGGATTACAGTCTGTAAAGGTTCTCATTCATCCAGGTCATAGTTATCCAAGGAAGGTTAAAATCAAGGTTACAGAAGCTTAACTAAAAAAACTGAACTAAATTTGAATTAAAATAGAAAAAAAAAGTCATGCAAAGTCATTTAAAGGTACTTACATTGTCCCTGTTGGTGACAGCAGCTTCTCTTATGATCAGACACTAAACTGACTTCAGGTTCGACCTACAGACCTTTTATAAAGCCCCCTGACACACACATTCACACACACACAATTCAGAACTCCCACAGGCTTAAGAGTCACAACAAATTCAAAGTGGGGCGTTTGATTTGCTAATGAAACAAACGTCAGCATCGTCATCTCTCTGACATGTGATTTTCTGTCTTTGGAGGGAAAATATCAAACATTTTCCAGGGTTATTTGTGTCAATACAATTCCAAACAGCCTCCTGCACCTCAGGGTGACAGTGGAGGAGGTTTACATACTCGTTGATACTCTTTACATAATCAGGTGTTTTGAAAAGGAGGTTGGAATTCAATTGAGGGATTATAATTTTTCCTTTTTCTGGTCTAATCCGCCCCGTTCCTCTGGGAGAGATTCAGGCGCCTGACAAAGAGGAATTTAGAAAAATGGGGCTGACTGGTTTATTGATGTTGAGGCTGGAGAAGAACAGAAATGAGTCAGTGATGAATTGAACCTCAGCAAACTGTCAGTTCAGGTTTAAACTTTTCTAAAAACACTCTCTCTGTAGTTAAGATGCTTGTCACCTAGAGCTTTTCTCCAGCTCCTTGACATTAAAATCACCACACTAATGAACCCAAATAAACTGGAGTCTGGTTGCCGCGGTGTCACCAAGGTCCCCGTTAGAAGCGTTGTCTTAACAACACCTTCCAGGACGAGTTTCTCCCAGTGAGAAATGTAGGCTGCAGTTAGAGGCTCGTGGGCAGAGGTGGGGCGAGAAGTGATTTAGTCCATTAGAGAGTAAATGACACATGGTGTGAAGAAATTCAAAGACAAATGGAGATGGGCAGAGAGGAAAGAGAGAAGTGGTGAAGCTGAAAAAGAAGAGGAAAAAGAGAAGAAATCAACAGATGAAGGTCAACATTTTTAAAAGCAGGAAGCACAAGGTTGATCAGATTGTGGTTTGGCTCATTGTGTTTGTTCAAACCCAACATTCAAGTTGTGTTTTACAGATTAAAGCAGGGCCTGTATTTATTAAAACGTGCACTTGATTCCCACTTACAAATGTAGGACAGCTGCTGATCAGATTTCTTACTACTTACCAATACTCCAAGATGGCGGAGGTGAATTTATGGCAAGCCAATGTGGTCATAATTGCTTGGTCAGGCATCTGATTGCACACTGCCACGTCAAAAGAGTGTGATGACGTATTCTGCATGTGATTTGCAACAAAAATGCACCTTTTTAGATGTGTTCTTTGGATTCATGAAAAGATTTGTGTTTTTAATGTGCAATTTGCCATTAATGTTTGTTGAAAATGCACGCTTTGTCTTTGAAGCGTCCAAACGTAAACGTACATGCTCTTCCTTTACTGTTCTCGAAATTGCACGTCAAAAGCGTGTACTGACTTTTAGGGCTTTAGTCGCCTATTTGCTTTTGGTGTAATGCTTTGTTATTCATGTGATCAAAGGATGCTAAAGACATACTTCTCCCATGTTAAATTTCTGTGTAGGTTTATCATCAGTTGTGTTGCCAGTATATTTACAGTGCTGCTCTCTTATGATATCTGTGAATTGAAATTATTTCCTTTAACATTTCTATATTGAATTGAAAGTGAAGTGATCTCTGAAACTATGTTATAAATCATAACTGATTAAAACGTATAATTTGCCAATGGGACAGCTTCAAGAACAAGTAAATAACACTTCTAACACGTTATTTTCATACTTCAAACAAATGTTTGCACTGCCTGTTTGGTTAACCTGTTTACACGATCATAATCTGTGTGACTCAAAACACGCAGGCTGTCAAATCAAACACTTTTGACTTCAGTGTGCAATCAGACGTCCGACCAGGCATTTTAGACCACTTTGGCTTGCCATATACGCACAAACCTTCTGACACATGTTTTAGAGTGATTATATGATGAATTATATGTTAGCTGAACCAATACTATATTAATTTAATTTGAACATTTGATAAGATTTACACCACTTTACTTGTTTTTAATCAAATAACAAATAAAGCTGCATTGATTTTGTTTGCAGTCACTTGTCTGAATTTACCGTTGTGGCAGTAACATCTCTCCATTATATGGTTTCCCTGATGTGACTCGTCCACCAGCAGCAGAATTTCTTTCCTGCTCCAGTTAACTTCTCTTTTTAGCCAGTCCGACTATATGTCTAATCAGCCAGAGTAATTGAAAACACCTGTATGTGTGTACAGGGCCTTTTAAGGAGTCCACACAAATAAAACATGAATCTTTAACAACCTATAACTTACTAAAATGTGAACAAATTGGCAGATGTAGGGTAAATTCTTGTGTCTGGTTGACTATTGCTGCTCAGAGTAGTCTTCATTAAATTAAACCCCATGTTTGTGGTCTGCATTTTTCAGCAACAGCCAGTGAATGTAATTACCCTTTTTATATAATAGTTTTCATTGCTACTGGTGGAGCCATTCCCACACTGGATTCAGATTACCTTCTTGTACAACAGGGATTTAAAGGAAACAATGCAGGATGTAATTTAGTGTAATTCTACCTCAGCCTCAGAGTTACTACTCACTCTCCTACAGCCATATCAGAGCTGTTACTCAATAGACAACTTCTATTCTTAGACCTTTAATTAAGATAAGAAAAGATTTTAACATGGAAAAGTGAGAAATCTTAATATTTCCTGTTTGCTGACCTCCAGATTGTATCTTTTGCAGATGATGTAGTGGAAAGAACATTTACTCAGATGCTGTGTTTAAGTACAATTTTGCGAACTTGTAATTTATGCTACTTTATACTTCTACTCCACAACATTTTGAGGGCAAAAAATTAATACTTTTTACCATCTCTACCAACTATAGTTAGTTACTTTGCAGATTTAGATTAATACACAATATTGTTAAGTTATTGTTAAGTTAACATACCCAGCAATATGTAAAGTAATTCAAATTAACTCTGCCTTTACCAGCTGCAACATTAAAGTAATGTACACTTTATTTATCAATTGTAATCCAGAAATTGTAAAATAGTCTATTATATATATAATTCTGAAATGGGCCTTTCTGCAATTAGAGTACTTTTACTGTTGACTAGTATATTTTGCTCTCCATTGATTGATTGAGTCATTCTCATTAATGCAAAAACATTTAATAGTTAGGGTCTCAAATGTGAAGATTTTCTGCTTTTCCTTTTAGTTGTATTAATAATCTTAATTAATTTTTATACTTTGAGGTTTGGACTGTTGGCTGGACAAAACAAAACATTATGAAGATGTCACTTAGGGCTATGGGTAACTGTGACAGCATTTCTCACTATTTTTAGATATTTTGCATACTATCAATTAATGGAGAAACTTACAAGCAGATTAATCCCTAATTAAAATAGGCTAATCATCAGTTGCAATCCAAAAAAATGCTCACCTGAACAACTACAGCAGTAAAAATCCTGCCTTTACATTAATGTGTAAATAAAAATAATCTAAAGATATAGTATATAATAACAGTCAGGGGATTTTTTTCTGCATTGAATACTTTTTTTTTAGTACTTTAGGTACATTTTCCTGATTATACTTGCACAATTTAAATTAAGTAACATTTTTAAAGCAGGACTTTTACTTGTAAGGAGTATTTTTACAGTGTTCACCACCACTGTCCAAACTGTGGTAAAAGAGGAGCCATGAGGGAGACAGACTGACCTTGTTGGTTTGACCCGTGTCATGGTGTTTATCTGAACGGAGTACTGGTACTGACAAACAGTGGATTGTTCTCCTGTCTGGATCAGTAGGCGCATTGTTGCAGCTCTGCACTGAACTGTCAGGGTTAACAAAGACATGAGAAGTTGAAGCTCTTGATTTATAAATCTCAACTACATTTCAGTTTAACTGGTAAATGCAGCAGACGTGTCACAGAGCAGTCAAGTATCAGCAGTGGTGGAATGTAACTATGTACATTTACTCAAGTACTGTACAGTATTCGACATGCTTGTACTTTACAAGCACAGCTTGATTTATTGGTGTTCTGTAGCAGGAGGTCCCTCAGGTGTAAAGCAGCCAGTATCCACATGGTGGCAGTGTTGCACTCAGTAGCTGGATGCTGCTGAGAAAGAGGAAGTCTTGTCACCACACCTGGAGCTGAACATTTAAAAGGAGACTAAAAACACAAGATGTGTCTATGTGTAACATACAATACATTAGGACTGTTTGTTAGCGCCCCCTAGAGGTGGCTGGTTCATTACAGCCACAGTTGTCTTTGAGCTGATATGAAGATGGCTCTAAAGGAAAGGTCATGGGATCATTAAAATATTATACAGTAAGTATTTTTTGACATTGTATTTTTAAATGTAAAATGAAGTCTTCATGGGTCCACTTGGTTCATAGAAACCGGGACTTGACCCAGGACCCGAATCAGACCAAGTCCTAATCATATTCAGTCTAATGAGATCTAGGGTCCTTTTGTATTGCTGCAGGTCTCAGGTCTTGTGTCAGAATGTTTGATACCGGAGATCCCTCTCTATTTCAGTTTTCTAAGATCCACTGCATTTTGGATCGGATCTTTTGATCCTTGAGTCTGTTTGGACTGGATCTGACCATCCTCGGGTCAATTTCAAGCAAATGAATCTAAAGGTACGAGTTCAAGAGGATTGTCCGTGAGTCTTTCTAAACCTAAGAAAAAAAGCTTCAGTCAGACTAAATACACACAATTTTGTGCTGTAGAAGTATTTTTCTTCTGCTTTTCCTTTCCTGTACATCACTTAATGACCCCTCAGATTTATCTTGCGTGGTCCTGACTCCCAGGTCGGGGGCAGTCAACCTACGGCTAGAAGCAATATCAACATCTGGCCAGAAGTTGTTGTGTCTCTGAATCTAAAAGTTGGATCAATCACCATCTAAGTGGTGGGAACAGTACAGGAATATTCTCTCAGTATTACTGCTCACTGTAACAGGTGTTGATAACAGCTGGGTTTCCATGGTAGCGTAGTGATCCAAGATGTCCACCATATAAATAAGATTACTGTGTATGAATCATGCACAGGAGCTCTCTGCTGCTCATCAGCCGTCATTTCTGTATCTGAGAAGATAATCCTTTTATTTTTTAAGTTTTTACTCAGAACACTTTACGGAAAGATGCAACTTGGACAACTACTTTGAAATAGGCAGTGAGAGTGATCACTATGACAATGACTTATTTCATTGGCTGTCCAACTACAAAGCATTTTGATCATAAATTCTAGACATTATTACACACACACAGCAGTCATACACAATAATGAAATCTCATTATTTTGTAAGTATAGGTGAGCGAGTTAAGCCAGTAACATAATTAAAATATTACAAAATAAAACTGTTCAAAGTTAGTAAAACCAGGCATGCTATTCTTATTAAAGGATAAATGTGGTTTTATTCTACTGTCAATAAATCCCATTTGTCTATCAATACTTTGTGACTTCCTGTCCTTCACTCCCATTGGTTCCTACTGAAGACGTAAATATATATTGTATTGTATTGTATATATTGTTTGAATTATAAAAAAAGGAAATAGAAAAGGTAGGAGAAAAAAGGAAATGAAGCATTTGTTGTTGATTATTTTCGGCGGCAGATTAAACCCAGTAGTGGACAGTAACTAAGTTACTCAAGTGATGTACTTAAGTACAAATTTGAATTACCTGTACTTTACTTGAGTATTTTCTTTTCACGCCACTTTCTACTTCTACTCCACTACATCAGTGGCGCCCCCAGAAAATTTTCCTACGGGTGGCTAGATGGGGTCACTGAAAAACCTGGGATAGCACTCTAAAACCAAAAGCCATAACTGAATAATAGTACTTATACATAAGTAAAGGATCTGAATACTTTGTCCACCACCACTGAACCACGTTTGGTGCTGTAGTGAGTATTTCCAGCAGCAGCAGCATCGTATGTGTGTGATTGAGTCAAAATAAATTACAGTGTGTGTTCATGATAATGAAGGATTATGTCACCCAGTGCAACAGTATGACTCACTGATGTGTTTTTAATAATTTCTGGACAAAAATAGAGCTCTATGGCACAGAGGAATATGATACATCAGACTTTGGATATACACACTTGTTAGTGGATCAATTCATTGTTGGTTTGGGTCTTTTATGGGATCTGTTGACAGTAAGAAAAATATAGATTCTCACCCGATTTATACCTCAAGTTCCGTCAGTCCTTCATCATAATCTTGCAGAACTCAGGATGATTTCTTTATAGACAATAAATCATGTTCTTGACTAAAGCGTCCAGGTTTTTGTGATTTCAGTTCAAAGTGCGTTGATACATTTAATAAATTCATGAGGTGTTAAGATCAAACCTCTCCCAGGAGAGGGCATCATTCATTCCTATCAACTTGTCAGTCAGAAGGAAAACAAATCAATTTAAATAGTAAATAAAAGAAAATCTGTATGAAATTAATCTTCAACAATAAATAAATAAATCACAAATTGACACAGATTTATTTCAAATTCCAATGGCTTTATTTTATGTATATAGATTTTATATATTTATATATATTTATATATTATATATACTTATGTAACAACTTTTACTCAGTTGCTTGATTATCATCTTTTGTTCAGCTTAAGTTCAAACGACATGACACTAAGACTAAGGCATTCCACACGATCATATCTTACAAAAGAGTAAAGAAAACAACGTGGGTGTGTGCACCTGTTGCACACATACATACATACATCAATGTACAGGTTTCGTGGTTCTGTTTGTAGAAAGAACTGAAAAATAAAAAGTCAATAAAGACGGAGACGAGCAGACAGAGTGAGGGAGAGAAAGTGAGAAACCAAAATGAACCACTGGAGTCGAACTGGAGGATTCTGTTGCATAGATTGAAGCAAACAGGAGGAGGATGTTTGATAGAAAACAGACAGGATGAGAGTGAACGAGGGAGAAGGTGACACACACACTGAGGAAACACACCTTCACCGAGCCAACAGCCCACCTGACACACACACACACACACACACACACACGGAAGCACAAGTTTTATTTTGGCTCACAAACAAATCACTGCTGAGGCTCAGACAGGACACTGAGGTCATGTCCTCTGTGTTTTAGCATTATGATGACAATGCTAACATGCTGATGTTTAGCAGGTTTAATATTTACCATGTTCACCATCTTAGTCTAGCTTGTGTGCATGTTAACATTTATTAATTAGCACTAAACGCAAATTGAGCTGAGGCTGATGAGAATGTCATTATTTTGTTATTTGTTCATTTAAAAAAAGTGTTGGACAAATAACAAATGTGGCGCTAGATGAAAAGTCAAAGGACACAACAAATCATAAACATAGGATTTAATATGTCCTCCTGTATTCCTGGCAGTATGAGCAAGGCTTTGAAACAGAATTTAAACCTCCATGTTGGGGAATATCTGCACATAAAATGTAAACAGTAACTGAATAAATGAAATAGCATAAATCCAAATAAGAGAAAAGAGAGATTTTTTTGGATTCATGACCTCAGTATTTCTTGAATCCTGCTGCCAGATTTGCCAAACCACCATCTCGAAGCAAAATTTTAATACCGTCAACGTTGTCACCATGACGGTCACCTTTACTGCCTGATGAAAACCGAAAAATCACTAAATAAAAATTTTTACACAGATTTCTCTAACTGAAGTCATCTTGAGCAGGTGTACAAAACATTTACTCATTCACTTTATTAAATCATGTTGCCGTGTGTTAATACAGACTTAAAGTCACATTTTATGAAACACTCTTGTTCTCTCTCTTTTCCAGGGTCAGACTTCCAGTTTCGTCATCTGTCTGTCCAGTACACAGACAGGACATATTTAGCCGAGCTTAGCACAAAGACTGGAAGCAGAAACAGCTAGCTCCATCAAAAAATAAATAAAATACCCCTTCTAAAAACTCCAAAGCTGTTTGATTTAGAAACAGAAAGTTTTTGGTTTCTTGTGGTTTTCATTCTGTTTTAGATGTTTACTCCCAGACGGGATTAAAATCTGGGCAAACCCTTTTTAAATGGCAGTGAAGTCAGACTTAAATGTAAATCTAAGCAACTATCAGTTTTGAAGACGGAACTCTTTTTTTTTTTATTGCAAATCTCTCATCTGACCAATTTTGAAATTTTACACATAAATAAACAAACATTTTCCCTTAAATTTGGATATTAAAGAATTGTGAAGACATGTAACAGACGGGACATTTCATTAGAGCTAAAAAAATTAAACAAATGTAAAAATGTTTGCCTTTTGATTTTCTGTTGATTAATTAATTGGCAACTATTCTGAAAATCAATTAATGTCAGACGTTCTTATATTTCAGATTCTCAGAATAGAGGATTTGCTTTGTCATATAAAAGTAAATTGAATAATTTGGGGGTTTGGTTGCTATGGGAAATTATGACAGGTTAGACAATTTTTAGAGACAAAAATATAGATTGATCGATAAAAAAAGTCATAATTGACAGACTTATCAATATTGAATAGTTGCAGCCATACATGTTACGGTGCACTGTGGTGGACATACAACATCTCTTAATTACCATTTCTGTACTGACATTTCTTATCAGCAAACATGCACGCCGATACTGACTTATCTGTCCAACAAACAGACATTTTACAAATAACCAACAAACTCCATTATCCTCATTTTTCTCCCCAACCTGGCCAGTAGAGAGAAGCAGGATGACGATGGATCATGTAGATCAATGGATGTGATTGGTGAGATGATGACACCTGCAGAACTGAAGCCTACCTGAACCACATGCTGAATGTTTCAGGTCTTGTTAACTGTCATCGTCTCCCCCACTCCTCTCACTGCACAGATGAGTGGGTGATGAGTTCAGGAGAATCTAGAAATCTGAGTGTTGCGTGTGCGTGCGTGCGTGGTGGGACGAGAGGATGAAACAGGTGGATGTTTTTGGATAAAGATACGATGGAAACAAAAATCACCTTTCATCAATCCATCCATCAGAAGTCACACAGTTTAATTTCCTCAGTGTGTTTCACCTCACAGTGCAAATATGTGTGTGTCTGTCTGTGTGTGTGTGCGTGTGCGCGTGTGTGTGTGTGTGTGTGTAATGTTGCATGTGTTTGGGGCGAGTATTTGAGATTTTTCATTTGAAAAACAAGTCAAACTTTTGGGATGTTTCATTCCATACTAAAACATGCAGAACACAGAACATTGAACACATATACTGAACGGTTAGTTTTATCCGAATGCAGTTTCTCTCAATTTTTTTTTTTTTTTTTTTAAAATCTCTTTTCGCACAGAGTGGCTTTAGGCTACACAGAACACGACAGAACCAATCGCACCAGGTTGGACATATTGCTTTAAACCACCAAAGTTTGTATATATGTCATGCATGCCACATAGATGATATTATGTTTATACAAAAATAACACCAACGCCTATTACTGTGTATCATAGTAATTACAGAAAACAAATCTTTTTCAGTCTTTTTTGCAATGAAGTTCAACTGAGAAACCATATATATCTATATACTTATATCTAATTATATCTATGTATATATATATATATATATACATAAATATATACTAGATATAAATATACAGAGATAATATATAAATATATAGATATATGTGTTAAGTGGTTATGACTTTTCCAACTTTGATAATCCAGTTTATTTGAAACATTTTTTTAATTAGCAAATGAAGTGGATGTGAAGATTCTCCAAAGAATTCCTTAATATCCGATGACAGGAAGCTGTTCTGAAAGAGGCAGTGCTCTGAAGAGGAAGACCCGCAGTCAAAATCCGACTGGATAAGAAGCGAGTTCCTTCTTTTTCCCCCCCAAGTCTCGTCTGCCGAGTCTCGTCCTGGACTGTTATATTTGTGATGCAGTTGAAACCACAAGCACAAACAGGTCTGGAGCCTCTGATGGCGGTGCTGTACTGTGCACCTGGCATGAGACGTGAGGGCAACCAGTCCAAGAGACGACCACCACAGCCACATCAAGGCCATGGCAAGAGCAGAGGGACAATCTTAACCAGGCGGGAGGGAGGGAGGAAGGGAGGGGGGTCATGTCAAACTTTCTAAAACAAACTTGTGCAGAAGAAGAAAAGAAAACGGAGAACGACTTTGGCAGAACATTCTTAAAGCTTTGCTGGGTGATGATTGGCTGATTGCCCCCTCTCCCCATTTCCTGTCACCGACACAGACAGCAGGTACACTTCATTCACTTATAAGACAATATTTACATTGCACTGACTGTAGGAGCAAAGGTCAGATTCAGCAGAAAACTAAGAGGAAACGTCGTCTGTGTCTCATTTATAACCAACACACACGGCAGAAAGAGCGCAATGTCATGAGCGCTTTAACAGTCCTGCTCTCTTCCCAGGAAATGTTTCTGAAGTTAGTAGTTGTATAAAATGGCGATGATCTACAGCTGCAGCCGTGTCCCGTCACAGGCTCCGCCTTCTTTAATGTCCGAAATTCACAACCAAATATAAAATTAGGAATGAAGCTGAAAAAAGTGGCGTCTCTTCCTTCTTTGGACTGAATTTTGACGACGCAACCTGTGGTCCGGGGCCTGCCCAAGTCTTTTTGGGGCCCTAGTAATAATTAGACAGCCCACCTAGCCCCCTCACCCCACAGTCTGCAAACATGTACAGCAACAGACGCTCAAATCAGTGAAAGAAACATCTTCAAATGAACAAAAACTGTTCTGTACAGAGCCGTTGTGGGATGTTCAAATACCAAAATAGAAGTTTCAACAAAAACTCCAAATACAAACTTACTAAAGGTATTACAGCTCCTGGTCACAGTAATACTGGAATTACTTACTAATAACGAAGAGAGGAAACTAGACCTGACCCAAGACCCAAGTCGAGCTGGGTTCAAATTATATTCAGTCTAATCAGGTTGTGTTGGCCCAGGTCTAACTGTCCTCAAGTCCGATTTGGATCAGAGCCCATAGACTTACAATTGGACTAGGATCGTCTTAACCTGAAGATGCTTTTGGGAAACTGGGTCAAGGCCAGTTAATAAAAATAAGAGTCACTTGTGCACATATGCTTTGGTCCTCAGGTTACTTTCTCAGTTTTGGTTTGTCTAAAAGGGATTGGAGCTCATTTTTTGGAAAAGGGGCAGACACGCCTTCATAGGCCACGCCCCTTTCAAAGGAGGCGGTGCCTGAAGCGGGACACAGCTTTGATCCTCTTTAAAGTCGTCAGCTCCAACAACAGCCAGTTGGAAAACAGAGTCAGTCCACTCATTCAAAGAAATCAGTCGTAGTAGCTTCAAAGTACAAAAACAAAGAAACCCAGCGGTTGGATAAATAATTATACACTCCCGTTTAATGTTAGATACAGTTAGCTGTATTCATGTTGCATTTGCTGAACTCTAATGGAGTTGGATAACTGCAAATCACATAGCGTGTAGTGTATCACAACATAACGTGAATATGCTCATGTAAAAGGGGGCTGATGGAACTAGATTGTTGAGATTCCAATTGAACGGCCAACAGGAAGTAAACAAGTCACTGCAGGTTTCTGAGCCCTAACATCAGGTGACCAAGACGACACACGTGGCATAAATATTTAGAGAGCTGTAAAAAGACAGAGTCCACGATAGATTCATCTCATTCATGTACTGCACTGTCACCAAACTCTTCAGCCTATACATATATATTCATATATCTCCAAAATATTAAAAAGTACTTAATATAAAAATACAGAAGAATTGTAAAAAATGAGCAAAACATTGAATTTTATATGAAAAACATGCAAGAAAGATTCCCCATTTAGTTAAATAGTAACTCTAAGATTCAGGAAAGTAAGGGAATGAAAGGGAAGTGGTCGGATGAGAGAAGCGCAGGCGAACTGCCACCCACTTGCTTTTCATGTAAACATTGTAGAGGTCCTTTAAACTTGGTTCGGCAGTGACGACTGAAGATTTTCTCCTTGCTTTTTGGTCGTGTTTGGAGTAAAGGGCCAGGGGAGGGGGGTCAGGGGTGAGAAAGTCCAAAGGAAACCTCAATAATAATGAGATAAAAAAAACAATACAGACAACCTATAAAATATGGCTCTGAGTTACATAGAAAAAGCTCATCAGAGGGGAGAGGAAGAACCTAGTCATGACAAAAAGCTGGAAATATGGCAGTAGTAGCACATTACTTCAATAACGTGTCCTGGTTCATTGATAGGTTGATGGCTGCTAGTCAGACTTTGCGGGGATTAGATGCATCGCTGCTTCTGATTGGAAGATGATTTCTTCTTCTTTTAAGACAGTAATCTGCAGACAATGGCAGGCAGAACATACTGAGCGGCAGCGGGGACACACAGTGGATGAAACTCTACAGGCCGACTGGTGACATCGTCAGTCTCCCATAAACCTCAGCGTGGCCGCCACACTGACGTCTGTTAATCAAACACAGCAGAGCGGAGAGGGATGACGATCAAACACCTTCTCTGCTGCTCGCTGTGTGATGTCACTGACAGCTGATTTAGTTTCTGTTCAGAAAATCTGACAAACAAGGGGAACAAAAACATCAGAACTGGTACTAAGATTTGTCCTGAACACAGGCAGACGGTCCAGACCTTGTTCAGAGATCTATTAACTTCCTGTCTGTTGAACTGACACAAAAACAGACTCATCGATAGTGGAGACATTCCTATTTTAACGTGTTCAAAATTAACACAAAGCTAATTTCAGAGGCAGAGATTACATCTAAAGCCAATGTAAAGACTATGTGGGCACGCTTGAGAGCCTCTAAATGGTTAAATTGTTATTAGTCTTTGTGTTTTTATTACAGAGGTGCAGTAGTTCTACTTTAAATCTGAGTCACATTATAAAACATCATTATCATCATGAGTCACCAGGAAGAGTTTGAGGATGTGTCTGGGGAGAAGACAAGGTAAACTGGGGCTAATCTGGTGCTCCTGCAACCCAGGTCTCCTTAAGGACGTTTATTTTGAGAGACAAAGGGATGAGCACTTCCTCATCCTGTGGCAGTAGCGTTCAGTTTGGAGAGTCCAAACCTAAAAGAAGTGACTTAAATGTCGACATTTTGTCATCTGCGAGGACGGCACAGTGGGGCAGTGGTTAGCGGGGTGGGGGTGTGTGTGTGTGTGTGTGTGTGTGTGTGTGTGTGTGTGTGTGTGTGTGTGTGGGGGGGGGTCGCCTCACAGTGTCACGGTCACAGGTTGTCATCTGTCATTTTTGACTGGTTGCCAAACATTAAGAGGGTGGGTATTATCTAATATGAGCATGTCAGGCAGAGGGAGAAGCTGGGGAGATAAAAAGAGAGAGAGAGAGAGAGAGAGAGAGAGAGAGAGAGAGAGAGAGAGAGAGAGAGAGAGAGAGAGAGAGAGAGAGAGAGAGAGAGAGGGAGGAGGAAGGAGATAAGACTGGCATTTGATGGACAATGAGTGATAACGTTCATCCCTGGAGTATTTTCGTTTCCGTCTGTGTCTATTTGTTAACCTAATTGAACTGAAACCAGCACCGAGCTCAGTGCACAGTTGCTGGTACAAACATAGACAACTGGAGCGGAAAGATAATTTTCAGGGAATGCTGCATCCTTTCTTGTCGGCCTCATTTTATCAGTGCAACCCAGCATGGGTATGCATGGATGAATCACGTTCGCAAGGAACCACAAAATTTAGGGCCACACGTACTGTACGCAGAGTTTACTCGCCTACAGGTCCACCTATGGATACACCTACTGTAGTAGGGTTCGTACAGATTTGTGCAAGAAAGTGCAATTCAAGCTCTTTCAAGGTACCTAAAGCAAAAATGTCCAGACTCCCCTTGCCTTTACCATCACATTTAAATTGTTTTTTTTTTTAATTGCAATGGTTTAAAAAATTCTTTTATACCCACAGTAATCAATGTATTGTCACTTTTATTTTAGCAGCTGTTTATATTAGTTTTGAACATGATTATTTAATGCTTGCTAATTTCCAGGTTAGGAATAAACAAGGCAAAGACTTATCTAGTTATGAATCAATTTGGCTCCTCTTAGGAGTCATTTTTTTATTTTTCGTTTGCCAGCCAGTTGTCAATAAAAAGACAGCCAGGCATGTTACTAAATCAATTACAAAATCAGTAGCTCTAGTAGCTGATGAGCAGGTACAATAGTTAGTTAGCTATCTTCAATGCCCTGATGTCGGGTTTATACCTGACGTGGAGGGGAACGCAAAAACGCCCCCTTTTCATTTCGTGGCCGTGTCAGTCAAGCAGCTCCACTCCACGTCTGGTGTGAGACGCCAGGAGAAAAAAAAAAGTCAAACAAAAAAACAGTTTCATTTCAATATTAAAAGATTTTTGGTTTACATGAAAGAGTGTGTAGATGAAACACCAGATTATGTTAAAAATCAAGCATTTTTCAAGGACTTAATTTGAATTCAAGCATATTCCGAACCTTGAAAACATAAAAGTTCAAATTAAGCATTTCTCCAACTTTCAAATACTTTGACGAACCCTGCAAGGAGTATTTCAGGGCTTTAGCTGCCCTCCTGCTGTTTCCTCAACATGAGCTGAGTAATGATGAGTCAGCTCTTGTCTTGTTGTGTTAACAGGATGTTCAGTCCTACAGACAGGAAGTTAGTGGAGCTCTGAACCGACGCTGCTGTAGACTAACACACATGTCTAAACACAATCGCAAATATTCATTCGTAAGTTATCATGCGACTCAACACGAATGAAACATAACATGCATCCTACTAGATGGGGAAACATGAACCACACTCGTGCTTCCTATCAACAATGTGGACGTACTGGGGGAGGGGCAGAGAGAACCAGAACCCTGACTGGATGAGATGAGATCAGACCCCCATTGAGCAGCTCTGCTCTGGGCGCCGCCATGTTAGATATTTTTGGGTAGTAAACATTCGGTCCTTCCACATGCAACACAGCAGCTAAAGAAAAACCATCACATACAAAAACGATAAAGGGAAGAACAATTTTTTAAACAACTAAACCTTGAAGACTGTAGTGTCACACTCACAAGACATTCTCAGGAGTCTGAATCAACCATGATTTTACGATCGTTAAAAAAAAGAAAAAAAAAAAAGATTACATTTTTGCTTTTGCCTAAAAATCTTCTGATCACCAAACCCGGCTATTAGCTGTGTGGAGGAGCCGAAAAGCGTATGTACATGAGAATCACTGCACTCTTTTGAAAAGTTCGGTGCCGTTTTTGAGAGCGTTACGCAGGAATGAAGCGAGTACAGAACACGACATGCTGCTGCGAGTCCCCCAAAGATCGAACCCAACAAAGTTTAAAAGCTTTTCAAAAGGATCATCAAGTAAAAAATATACATGAATGGACAAGGACAAGCCTTCCACAGTGGAGACTCTGGACTCCACCCTCTGCTGATACAATGCGTGTGATTGTGGTGGTGGAGGGACAAACTTACAGGCAGGACGATGCCACAGTCAGTATGTAAAACACAACGTGGCAGGAATGACTGAGAGGGGTGAAGACGGTGTGAAGAATGTGTGTGTGCAGAATGAGGGGATGAGCAGAGTGATGACTTCCCTCCTCAGTGCGACAGTTCAGTTGGTGTGATGACAGATGATGCTGACAGAGAGGAGGGAGGAGAAGAAGGAGCTCAGATGGATGACTCGCGGCTGTGGGTGAAGGCGCTGGGCGGCTCTCCTCCTCCCCCCGACCTAGAGGAGGCGCTGGGGAGGGGGTCGATCTCGTCTCCAGTCTCCTTGATGGGGGGGATGCGAGCCTCCTCCTCGGACAGTGGGACGAACTCAGGATGGGCCATGAAGCTGTGGATGGAGCTACGGGACTCTGGGCTCTCAAGCCCGGCGTACAGGGAGCTACGGAACGCGTTCACCACCTTAATCTGAAACAAAGGAAGAAAAGAAACGTCAGAGGATAAGCAGATGGGCAGCTACAGACTCCATTGTTATGACAGAGTGATGTCAAGCAGGCTGCAGGGACTGATGGTACACATGGTGGTCGTGCATCTGAATCTGGGCGGGGAGGTGCAAAACCACAAAACACAACTGGTCAAACAGAGGTTGGCTGGATGAGAACATGGTGGGATAACAAAAAATAATGTCCACAAACATCAACACAAAAAGTTAAAAGAAAATACAATGATGATGTTGGAGGCAGCCGAGTGCAGGAAGACAAACTGCAACAAAAAACTCTACCAACAGGTGGCACTATCTTCACGAGGAGCCGTCATTGACATAATGCATTCCCTAGCATCTTACCTAACCTTAACCTTCATAACTACATGCCTTACGTTAACCCTTGCCCTACCCCTACCTCTAACCTAATTCTACCCTCAACCCTAAAACCAAGTCTTGACCCTTTAAACTTGTGGGGTCCAGCACAGTGGTCCCCACAAAGCTGCTGGACTCCGGTTTTTGGATAAATATAGTAACCCCCGCCCCCACACACACACAAACACACACAGAGTCATCTTCATCACATCAGAGGACATTACATTCACTTACATTAATTACCTTCTCTTCTAACCTAACCTTAAAGTCTTCACCCTAAAATGGAATGATTTACATTATGGGGACTTGTATTTTTATTTACATAAAAACAGACAAGACCACCAAAGTCTTGTTGACTTTCTTTTCTTATATTATTTTATTTGACATTTTATTCATTCATTATTAATTTATTCAAGTTAGGATAGTTTCATATCCATGGTCAGATTAATTAGAGGCAACACAGGTCCTCATAGTGTGACTTTGCAGTCAAGTTGTGTTCCCCCACATAATGAACACATAGCAAACATTAGGGCTGGGTACTGAACCTCAATTCTTTTTTGGTGTAGGCCGAAACTAGTATATATAACTGAAAAGTCACATTCATCATCTTGCTGACTTTTCTGATCAGATAGGCCCTGATTCCCTACTCTGACAAAGTTCTTGTACGGCTGCACAGGTTATCTGATAAAACAGGACCCAAATTTGTTGATATTATACGTCAATGTGCAAATTCACTAACAAATTTGCAATTAAACAAATTTTGATGTGTAAACAAATATGTATAAATAGCAAAAGCCAACGGACATGCAGGAAAACTGTGACTTTGGGGGCACTTGGGGGTCTAAGGCTCGCTTTGCCAACTGGTAATTGAGCCTTGATGGTGTCAGCACTAGTATAGAAGATTTTCAAACGATACCGGCCCCAGTAAACACACACACACACACACACACACACACGGGAAAAACAACAAACACATGCACACTGTTAAGTATTTATAATCATATTTAGAACCAGAATCATTTTGTCCTCTAGCTGCTCTCTTCTCTCTGCCTTAAACCGCTTCCTCTGTCATGAATCCACAGAGGCTGCAGCTGATCACACTGATTTATACGCACCAGCAGACACTCTTCATCATAATTAATAACCCTGCAGTTCAAAGCTCTCTATTACTGAACCACATGAGAGCTGCAGGCTTAGAGCATACATGCAACCACCACACACAACACAGCTCTCAAGTTAAAAAGCTCTTGGCTGTTAAACCATGAGAGACTTGCTGAGCCTGACAGATTCAACCCTGCTCAGGATTAACCCATTAAATTATCTCGCTGCCCAGGCTGTCGCCTCAGATAAAACAGGAAAAAAAATCAACAAAGAAAGTATAAGAAGGATCTCTGTCACAAATCAGAGCGATTCAAAGCTTCTTTCTCTTCTTGTTGGCCACGTGTGTCTGTCATCGACTCGTCAGGCAGCAAGTCATGTCAGGTTAATAGAAGCATGTTAAGAGTTTAAATCTCCATGACATGCAGGAGGAGAAGCAGCAGGCTGAGAGGTGATGAAAGGTATTTAAAAAAGGAGGAGAACGAGATTAAGATGGAGATGGAAAAGCAGAGGAAGGTGAAGTAGAAAGCACATAGAAACAGTGTGGAGTTCAGAGATGGAAACACATGGAGCAGGTTGTCTGTAAGCTAATTTTTTGAGCTTTTAGATGTTTTTTTTTAGAATAAAGCTGGCCATGTTTTTTCTTATTGTCAGCACTTCTAATGAAAAGACTAGAAGGCAACGCTGTGTTAGTTAATCTCTCAGGACTTTCTGACTTCCGTCTGTGTCAGCCCCAAGCCCACTGGCTCCTTTTGAAGATGTGAAACTGTAAAAACGGCTCACAAATATATACAATTTAATAAAAAAAAATTATAAAAAAAGACTGAAATTTGCACTCTTGTAATTTGTGAGCTTTATAGGTGTATATTTATACGTGTATTTTCGAGCTTTGGACAGGGCCAGGCTAGCTGTTTCTTTTTGCTAAGATGGCTAACCACGTTTGACCTAACACACAGACATGAGATTGATATCCATCATCTCATCTCACTCTCAGAAATAAAGAGAATAAAGTCTTTTTCCCCCAAAATGTGGATTGTGTAATTGCTATAATGTTATATCCGTCAGTTGTTTATAATAACAATAATTATAATAACACTCAGATAATCATTCTGATGTTTTAGATTAGTTCAGGATGTTCAGACATCCGCTGTTGGCAGAAACAGTGTGATAGATTTAGTGAGTCATGCAGCATTCAGTGTTTCATGCAGTTGAAACAGAGAAAAAAAGTCCAGCTGGATGAAGCGTGATGTTAGCTGGCCTCTGGTCACAGACTCACTGCCTGCAGTAGAGGAGGAAGCAGTAGCAGCAGGGGGCGGAGCCCCGGCCGAGTTGGTGAGAGAGGAGGAGGAGCTAAGCCCTAGGTGGGTGGGGCTAGAGAGAGTTTTGGCAGCAGTGGCGTCATTGTGCTGGCTGACGACGGACGGCTGGCGGCGCAGGGCACCGGGCACCGGTGCCTGGCCCGTCTGGAAGGTATAGACCACATCCATCTGAAGGAAGGACACCCACAACACACCGTTAGATAGCGGAGAAACAGAGGAAACAGGAAAAAGAAAGACTTCTGGAGAAGTTAGGGGTTATTTCCCTTTGCAAAGGAAGTGCTCGTCTGGATCTTTTTAAAGAGCAGCTTGAGATAGCAGGAAAAGGCCTTATACAACTTGATGGGTGGATTTTAATCTGGATTGTTTCAAAACTGTACAGATGTGAATCAGACCAGATCCAGATGGTCAAATCTAGATGTTATGTGTTCTGCTGCATTTACCCCTCCATTACCATGAGTTTCTCCATTATCTAGATAAAAAATTTACATACAGATCACATGTTATTACATATTATTAAGTGGAGATGAATATACGTGTATATATGCTTTTTCCAGATTTAAACCACTCAGGCAAAGATCTTTTATTTTTGGCAAAAAAAACAAACACTGGAGTATAAAGACATTTGGATTTTGTTTCTTTTGAACTAGCATTAATGTTAAAAACTTAGTAACATATCTTTCCATGGTATTACCTACTCAGAAAGACATCATCATCAAGTTGGTACAGGGACAAAGAAGAACATGAGACGGAAACAAAGACTAGAAGAAGTGGACTAGGGAGAGATCAGGTTTGAGGGGAAGAGGAGGAACATTTGAGAGAAACAGCATAAAGACAGAGAAAGCTGTCATTTAGTTAGTGAAAAGCAAAATGTAAAAATCCAGAAGCTCTGAAAAGAATGAAGGGATGAAGGAGACAACGAATAAAGAGCTGTTGAATCAGGCTGAAAGCACTTTTGAGAGAAGAACGAGTGGAGACAGGAGAAAGAGGAGAAACTGTGTCACTTGGAATGACTGATAAAGTTTCGGCAGCGAGGTGCTGCTTGTACCAATTATTCCCCCACTGTGTTTGACTGTCGAGGCGTTGAGCGGCACAACGCTGCCCACCAGGATTAGAGAGGAGGAGGACAGGAAGAGGAGCGTGGAGAGATAAAAACCTAATTAGCTTGCAGCCTTTCGTTGCCTCCCCCTCCATCCCCTCATCCTCCCATCCCAGGAGGATGACAGACTGATATTACAGATACACAGACATGACGGGAAAGGAGAGAGCTCTTTTCTTTGCATTGTTTCTGATGGTAGAGAGACAGAAGAGGGCAAGGGCTTTCTTTCTGATCCTCCTCGCATCACTTCCTTCTTTCGTGACGCTCTGTGGCTTCACAAAGGGCAGATGAAGGTTACTTTCCGACACTCCACGCATCAGAATCAGGGTTTCCACCTCGACTGACATAAAGCCTGCACCCGCCTGTCCGCTCAGCAGCTTTTGATCATATCAAATGATCTGAAGTTGCCAAGTTGTCATGAAATTGTAGATGTTTAAATTTCCATCCAGGACTTTAAGGACTTCTCATCTAGCTTCTAATAATTGTTTTCTTAACTATTGTTTCCAGGTCGAGAATTAACTTCAAACCTCGGCTTTTAAACCTGCATTAACTGATTTCTTTGGCCACTGGGGGGGAGCGGAAACAAGTTTGAACACAAGATTTGCAAATCAACATTTTTTAAGCTGATATGGGGAACTCCATTGCTTAATTACACATCCAACAGTTACCGAGCAACATTATCATTTATTTGGAGTCATGCGATTGTAAGTCGAATACTCACTCTCTTTTAGCTCCGTTGTTGGTCTCTACCAACTCTTGAGGGAAATACATGGTTCTTTAGCTGCTAAATGTTCCGCTGTGTTCACTAGCTATTTGTTAAATGTGTCTTTCTGCTATCATGTATTTTTGCTGAAAACTGCTGCTTACTACGGCCAAAAGCGTCGCTATGAGAGCAACAAGAGTGAATAAAAATAGTAAAGTGGTGTGTCGGACAGATAAATAGTGAGCTATGAAGTCGAGAGTAGCTGCAGATTAATGTGATGATTCTCTATGAATTCATTAATATGAGTGACACCTTTCACATTGTCATTTTTGTCCTGTTAATATAAAAATATCAATTATAGCCACTTAAAATAAGTGTGTATGTATAACTGTTGCAGAAACACAGTGATTAAGGTATCAGATAAGATAATGTTGTTCCTGGGAAGGACGACGGGCAGTAAAGTCTGATATTGTGTCAGTTTGAGTTTTTGAGACTTCTCAGATAGACTTCTCAGACAAGGCAGAGAGCTTCAGCAAGGTCAAGCAGAAAAACCCAAGAGGGCAAGGCAGAAGAAGATATTAGTTATTATTAATTCACATGTGTTTACCCTCCGGCCACAATAACTACAAATAAGTCCACTGCTGAGAGGAATACACCTGACCTCTCTCATCGACTGAGTGTGTGTGGGAGCAGAGAGTCAGCTGCTGTTACTGTAGGTGGGTGTTAGCATCGAGGCTAATGAACCCCATAGGGACAGAATGGGACTGCCTGTGGACATGCTAATTCTTAGTGAGTCTTGATCTAACCTGTAGGAGGATAACACACACACACACACACACACACACACACACACACGCACACACGCACACTGCAAAGTCCCAGACTGTGAGATGAGTCACAGGGGAAGATGGCAATGTGAAGGTGCTGCTGTTTACCTCCAACACTGACTGACTGAGGAATAAAATGATCCAGCAAGCTTTCTGTTCCACGCTGAATGCTGTCTTTAATTTCTATGTTTTAATAAAGTGGTTCCGTATTGAAGCTCAGCAGCAGAGTGTGAAATTAACTGGACAGCGAATTGCATTGTGTGTGTGTGTGTTAAATATCTCCAGTTTAACCCACACTGTGTTTTCTAACACAAACATTTGACTGAACATGTTGAATGTGGAGGACAGTTTGTGTCACAGAGGAGACAACGTAAAGACAGAGACTCGAACAACCAATCAGGTCGTCTGATGCTGCTACAGTAATCTCAGTGTGGTTTATGCATAAAGATTTAGGCATTATAAGAGAACAATCAATCAATTGTCAAGTCTGTGCTTGACTATGGAGACATCCTGCACTCTCATGTTGCTCATTCCACCTTAAAAAATATGATGCAGTTTTTACCATTGTGCAATCTGGTTCATTACTGGTGATAAATATGTATGAAACAGTAGGTTGGTCCTCACTTGCATCAAGAAGAGAACTACGCACTCACTCTCTCTCTCGTTTAACTCCCACAGAAAAACATATACTTATAAATGCAAAGAAACTGAAAGTCTCATCCTACTGTTTTGTTGTGTGTCTTATTTAAATTTATACTGATCACGTTTTATCAAATCTGAAGCATTTCAAATCCCTTAATGAATCTTTTTAGGTAGTTTGTTTGGTAGACCACGAAGATATCTCTTCACTCATAGTATCATAGCTAAACCAAAGAAGGTGATGAGTTTTCACCGCAGATTTTATAATTATGACGATGATAATGATAATAATAATTTAACTGTGTCCAGACCCATGTTTGCTACCAGCGCGAGTTTAAAGGCACCCACCTCCTGCACCTAGAGTTTTGAAGTTTCCTTCGGGTATTAAGACTCCTTCAGCCCTTTTACTGCTAAAATCCAATAGTAAAGGTTAAATCAGAATGACCATCAACCATGCTGGGTAAATAAGTAAATAAAAGTATTTATGTACTCTATGTTGTTTTTTATCTTGGTCTACTTCTTAATATATGTGGGTTTTATTTAACCATCCATGTGTGTGCTTTGATATTGTGTGTTTTTACTGTTACCACTGCACAACAACTCCCTCCTGGGGACAAATAAAGTTCTACTTGACTTGACTTATCACAAATCTGTGATATTCATTGATCCTGTGTGGACTCATTTTTCTGTGTTTTCTCCTCGCTGGGGGGGTGATGTGCAACAGCTGGAGAAGCCATAGATGCTTAAGTAAAAACAATACATTGGAAATAATATTAAGTTTACTTTATGGTTCAGCAAATATCAACTAAATAAATTGCTGAATTTTCTTACTTCATGTTTCCTGCTGCTGGTCGCAGAATAGATGTAAGCAGCAGCAGAGCACTCGCTATTGTCACGACAAGTTTTCTTTCTTTTCTTTCTTTTCCCAGGTTTTTTGACAGATCTGAGGAAAACTGCATTTTCATACTATGCACCCTGGCCATGAAATAATTTGCAAAAATATCTCAAATTAGAAACGTGTCTATCAATTGATAAATTTTAAAGCATTATAAAGAATGTGGTGAAGGAGGCATGTGGTTGTTTTCTTGAGAGGTCATTGTGTTTGAATAGCTGTACTTTTTGTTAATGTTTTTTTGCTTGATTGTGAATTTTGTCATGTTGTATATGTGGCATTTTAATATTTTTCGTTTATGTATGGCTGCTACCTTGGCCAGGTCTCTCTTGAGACCCGTAACGTCTTGCAAATATTGCATGTTGCAGGTCTTTCTCTGACTTTGGCGTGTATCCACACATCCAACAGTCTACCATTTTCAGTCAGTCAATCTTGTTAACAGCTGTGTCGCTGCAGGCAAAGCAATCTACCGGATGAACCCGACCAATGAGAGCTTGCAGACTTTCACAGCTTGAACAGAGAAGATCAGGAAGGTGTCAGGACTCTCTCACCTGACAGCAGCAACATCATCATTCATACAGTTGAAGAGCGCTCTGGGCTCCTTTTGATCAACATCATCAAACATGTGGTAGAAGTTATCAAATTCGTACAAGAGACGACATATGACTTCTGGGTTGCTTGGCTTTTTGTCAGATCATGGTGAGGCCTCCTAGATGCTGCGCCTGTTGTCATCCACGATGACAGACGATACAAGACAACACGAGTGAGTGTCGACCTCCCTGTTTGTCGCATCGGACCATTATCGGGCTGTAATCATGTAGTCTGATCTCTGCTTCATGTGTGAAGATTACAATCCAGGCAGGATATTTCTGTGTCACTTTGACCTCATGAGTTTGATGAAACACAACGTCTCTGCTGGGACATTGTGACTCTCAGTTCTTCAACTCTGGTTCAGCAGACGATTGTTAGATTTGAGAATGATGATGGTGAGGTGGGGGTGCAGCTGAATTTTATTTAAGTATGTTTTTTTCAGATGACAACTGTCAGATGTTTACCTGAACAGCTTCCAAAGGTTAAAACAACAATTCACCAGTGAGACAACTGCCCAGTCCTGCATCACCATGGCAAATGATGGTTTCTGCAGCTCTCATGACAGAACGGATATTTGAGTCATGTCATTGTCTTCATAAACAATAATTGCCTGATATCAGAAAAACCTTGAAATGAAAAGTTATGTTAGTTATAAAGTAAGTCTTGGGAGGCATTGTGAGGCGCGGTGGTCGTACCTGTGTCTGGATGCGGTTCAGACCTCTGAACCAGAGGATCTGGCCCCTCCTCAGCTCCATCTCAGCGTGGTCGATCTCGTCGGCGCCCTCCGTCATCTGCTCCTCGTGGATCTCCTCCTTCGTGCTGCCGTGACCTGCCTCCTTCAGGAACTTCAGATGGTGGGTCGGGATGGCTGAGATCAGCTGAGAAAAAATAAAAATACTGTGTTGTTAAAGGATCCCTCCACTGAACCATGTTTACCAGGCAGAGGTTCAACAAAGAGGGATTAGCAAAAAGATTTGATTCAGCTGCATCATGGGAAATGTAGGATGCAGTGTTTCTGGAGCCAATTTGTTGGCCTTTTATTTCATAAATGCCACATGAATTTCCCTGCTCTGTTATATTCAAATCAAGGGGGTGTGGTTCTCTGACGACAGGGAAAACCGTACTGAGGTGGTTTTCTTGTCGGGTCTGGCTCCTGGCACCCCTGGCATCCTGCTCTGCCTCTCTGTGATTTAAATGTGAAATTAAATAAAAATGATTTAATAAATTAAGTATATTGATTAATTTATATATTTATATTTACATTTACTTATATATTTGCCTCATGTATTTTAGAATTTATTTCATAGGAATATATTTAACAGTGTATTTAATTTATGTAATAAATATTGATTTAAATGGAATTCGATAAAATACAACATATGAGAATTACTGAAAAAGAACAATTATCTTTGTACGTAAATCCTGTAAAATTAATTTTGCTGTGTTTGTTACTCTTATAATGATTACATATGTTATCTTTAAATTAATCACATAGACATCAGATGTAATGGTGTGTTGAATTATAATCAACGTCATTGATTACAGAAATACGTCGATTTGCATAACATGTGTCGGCGCGTCTCGGTGAGGTTCTGTGACTGGATTCCCCTCGGAGAAAAAGCTGCAGCTAAAACTAAAAAAACCTCATACTTGACCATCTAAAGTTTGGAAGTATTTTCCACAGATACCAAATAATGTGGTACTCCGTAAGCTCTGCAAGCTGAAAATGACTTATCACAGCATTACAACTGCTATGCACAAACACTTGAAGCAAAGCATCCTGGAGCGCTTTGTCAAGACGGCAGCAGAGGTAAGACAGCACCGCAAATTGTTCTTTGTTCAGTTAAAAAAAGAAAGGAGAGAGGCACACCAAGCCTCCTGCAGCAGCTGCACATCAGCATTTCCTTCTTTTCTGTCACCTTCTGTCTCTGTGTTAGAAACAACCTCTAAAGCAAATCACAGACCTCAGATCAGTCTGTTCCTGTCAGCATCTCTGTCTCTCTGCCCTCCAAATGAACCCACCAGCCATCTTATGCCTGAACTTTCTGTCTATTTAATGTTAGTGCTCTAAGCCTGTTTGTGTGTGTGTGTACATTTTAACAGGATCATGCATGTGATGGTGTGTTTGTGTGTGTATCCACAGAGGGACTGACACGCTGGGTTTGTTTTCCCTCTGCGCTTGTAAACAACTCGCGCCGCTTTCATGTGCTGAGCTTATTACCATGGCGATGGTCGTGATGGCAACGCTGCAGCAGCGCGAGCGTGACAGGCAACAGTTTGCAGCCACAAACCTCGTGTATCCACCTCTTCATCTTCTCCTGAGTACATGTTGTTTGTGCACAACGGGCTCTGATGCTGTTTGTTCAGAACACCTGTGGTTCTGCTTCTGGTCTCACCTGTCCCCACAGCAGCTCTCCCACACCGATGAACACACACCACAGCCACTGGTCGATGGTCAGAGCTGTGCAGGAGAACGGCTTCCCTCCGAACTGAACAATGACGATCTTATGAGGAAAGAAACATACAAAAATAAAGTTGTGGATGTGAATGACTTTTTAATTACAGTTTTAAAAAGTCATGCTGTCCTTGACTTCACAGCACACCATTGGCGGTTCTCCTGCATCGGCCCAGTGTAGTCAAGCCTTTAACCTTTTTGGCGTGACCCACTTCCTCCCTCCTTTAATATTCATGCCATAGTTTCATAAAATGTATCTATAAAATAACTGTTTGATTGAAAAACCTTTGGAATAACTGCATTAGATGATGATGTATGGGATGATGATGATGATGATGGAGTTACCTGCAGGGCGAAGGTCCCCAGTACGACGCTGCAGAAGATGGGGTTTCGGTAGATGCCCTCGAACACGTTCCTCTCTCCGTGAATCTTCCTGGCGTTGATTTCATTGAAAAGCTGCATCATGACAAACACGTTGAATACGATGGTGTAGTGCTCCGACGGCGGTGAGTGCAGGGGAGCGTTACGGCCGCTGTCAATGTCGAAAATCGTCTCACCTGAGAAACAATGTAGGAAAAAGTTAGACAAAACAAATCTATAGATTCTAATCTAATAATCTATTTTTGACAGCAAATAATAAATATCTTAAAATGAACCTCCTCTGAAATTGATTTACTAACTGATATTTTTATAAACTGAACAGTAATTTCAATACTTCATATTTGCCCACTGAGATGACCGAGCAGGCAGATTCTGGTTGAAGGGGTTGAATGGCTCATCTGGTTTGAACACTTTTCCTAATGAATGTTGTTAGTTTAACTCACCAGTGAACAGCAGGGTGAAGATGATGACGAGCTGGTACACGGCGTGTCCCAGGATGTTCTTCATCATGGTCCTGGAGATGAGGGGCTTGTTGCGGCCGTACGGTCTACGTAACAGCAGAGACTCGGTGGGCGGCTCGGTGGCCAGAGCGAGAGACGCCAGAGTGTCCATGATTAGGTTGACCCAGAGCATCTGGACAGCCTTCAGAGGAGAGTCCTGCAGGATGGGGAGACATCAGAAGTTTAATTTACAGGAAGGAATGGAAATCTGAGCGAGCAAACACATAATAGCAAAACATATCAACCAGTAACACATCTCCATCTTCTTCTTTTGGTTATTTCCCTCCAGTTACTCTCCCTTTTCTTATTGCTCTCTGCATGTTTTGAGTAGAGTAATACAACCTTTTTTTCCTTCTCAATTTTAATAATTTTCAACTTGCACAAACACGTCTTCACCTCAGTTCACGCTGCTTTGTGCAAATCTGAGTCTTTGCATTGACTTTACTTGCAACTGTGATGTGATGTCTGCAGCCCCTGGTGGTGGCCGCCTTTGGACACCAACCATGTCAACACAGAGGAATCCAAAGGCATGTTTGTACATGCAAGCTGGATGTGTGCATGGAGCACAATGTTACTGCATATTGTGGTTGATCCAAGAGCATAATTTCCACATGGGAGGGGATGTATTGGTGGATGTTGTTGAGGGCAAAAATGAGCGGAAGACCTGCAGACACTATTCAGGACGGAAAAAACAACGGGACTGCTTTGCCACGAGACTTAGAAAGAAAAATGCATTTATATAATTATATACAGTGCATGTTCTCCTAAAAAGATGCTGAACTGAAGATATGGCAGTGACAGTTTTTAGCAAAGATGCAAATACAAGATTAATTATTACAAAAGGTCTCTATCAAGGAAATTAAACATGATATAGTGACTTCTTCATTCCACACATTCTTCTCTATCTAAACCTGGCAACTTTATTACCCACAATGCAAATCAACTGCAAACACTTCGGTCAGAGATTCTGCCCCAACAAGCAATTTATCAGCTTTAACACAACTCCCTCTGGAGCCACAAGACTACCTAGCGTTCCCCTTAACATAACATAAGTAGTGTTAGTGTTTTAACAGTTTATCATACTGTGATTATTAAGCACAATAACCAATTATATTGTTATATGTTTAGTTTCGTTTTAAGTTTAGAAACCTTACTGTCTACAAAGAGGCCATTTGTATTACCATACAAAAGTACAGGTACTGTGGACACAGGGAAATGTCCCAAAAGCTAAAGAGAATGAATATAAAACAGCAACAACACACTGCATCAGAGATCTCTGTATCCTCGGTCAAAGCAGTTCAAATCGTGAATAAATAAATACCTAACCTACATAGGCTACCACATCTTATTTATTTGGGTTATTGAGGGTTTTTTTTTTTGCACGGTTGTTCCTTATTTTGGGGTACGTGTACCTGCTGCCAAAGGTAGGTGCTGAAAATCTACTACTACTGGACTAGTCCGTACAGGTGGTACAGGGCCATCTGCTGCAACCACATGATTTTTCCACAGGTCTTAACAATTGTCTCTTGCTGTTATCTGCTAAACTGATTCTAATGCACATACATGCACACACACACTTCAAAGGACCTCCTCCACTTCTGAAATCAAACCTACGACAGCCCTCTGTACATACAATAAAGACATGAATCAGATTACCATCTTTTAATGATCTGTGCCAACATGTCAGTGGCCTAACAGAAACCAAGCGCTGGATGATCAGTGAGTCTAAACACAACACAGAGACCACAGACCTGCTGAGTCCCTGTTAAATTTCAGGATTATGATGGTGACGTGTTGCCATGGTTTCAGGCTGTATCTTAGCCTACTTTGTGCTCTCTACTCTGTAGACGAGTTAGTTATCTGTCCTGCCAGCTGTGAGCCTTTCAATTAATACACAACCGCAAGTTACTTTTCTTTTTTATTGTGTCAGGAGTTCAGTTTTCTGATTAGAGACACACACAAAAAAATGTGACACGGCTGCCTCTCCTCCACGCAGCGCTCAGACGGTCACATCAAAATAAAAAAAAAACTCGCCTTTTCCTTTTTTCTGTGGAGATTTGATCAAAAAGAAATGTACAGATGTAGTAAGAGCAGATGCATCAAACACTATAGTAAGGCTAAAAATGCTAAATAACTAATCACCAGTACAGATTTTTTAACAGATGAGCAAGATGACACAACTCAGTCTTCATCATTATTTGTTCTCACGTTCTCATCTTTTCAAGTTCTCATTCAAACGTGAGCATCCTGAATCAGCATCCTGACTGATGGAAGGGATATGAAACATTTAAACTCGGTGACATTAAAGCTTAAAGTCTGTGGAGGAAAATTTGTTCTGTATTGTAGGAAAACATAACTCATCCTTCAGTTTAAAACTTGAAGTAATATAGACAAGTATATTTCCTGTTCTCAAAAAAATGCAGTGTATTTTCTGTCTCTATGTGTCTGGAGGGAATATTTTAAAACCATTGATTAGTTAACGAGATGACTAATAACTTTTGAGACGAAAAATAAAATGAACACTCCATGACTAACAGGATTTGAGTGCGACATGCTTGTAATTTTTATTTGAATTCTGTCCCGATTGAGTTAATTTCTAACGCAAATTAAGTGGAAACGTCCTTTTTAATGATCATTTTCATAATGGCAGGATTCTCCCAGGCCTCTTTTGTGCAAACGGTCAAAGTGATCTGTCAAAATCACCGTGCAGGATGAAACATCCGATTGCTGGATCACACTAATCAGAGGACACCATCACAGTCACAGTCTAATCTCTGGCCAAAGTTGCCATATCTGTCCATTAGTGGATGATTTTTTTAAGACAATTACACAAACCATTATGTGCACACAAATGTGAAAACACCAAAGACGGCAGTTGTTACAGAGACTGATTAAATGTGTAACCAACCTGCCCACCATTACTGTCTGATTCAAAATGGATACATCCTGGTGTCTAAGCAGCTGTGACGCCACCATGGGCAGTCATCCCACATTAACTTCAGAGCCAGTGTGCATCCTTCAGCCTACCTGTGTGATGCAGGCGCCGGTGAACGCCACGATCACAGCCACCACGTTGACGGTCAGCTGGAACTGCAGGAACTTGGAGATGCTGTCGTAGACGTTCCTTCCCCACATGACGGCCTTGACGATGCTGGTGAAGTTGTCGTCAGTCAGTATGATGTCAGACGCTTCCTTTGCCACGTCTGTGCCGGCGATTCCCTGACGAGAAGCAGAGGGGGACCATCAGGTTTATGATTTTAGATGGAAACTCAGAATAACTGGCCAGCAGCTGAGGCAGAGCTTTTAAAAGGGATAAAAAAGACTTAAGACAATGTGCTCGGGAGTTTGACTCCCCTGAACAACAACAACAAACTAAGTGCTCTAATGCGCTGAATCCCAAACTGGTTGTATTGGGATTGTGAGAACTGGTTCGTCTGAAAGAGTATGATGATAAAAAAAAGGATCATCCATGCTGAACTAAACCTCTTTTTTAAATAAAAAAATAAGACAGATGAAAAAAAGGTTTTCACATTCAAGTCTAGTGATATTCTATATTTGTGTTATAGTCAGTAAATGTGCAGACCCAAAACAACAATGAATTGATCCACTAACAAAGTTCATGTTTACCCCCTGGTGATTTGACTTTGACACCCCTGGTATAAAGGACAATGCAGCTTAAGTGAGAATATTTTAACCCAATCAACTGACGCAGTGGTAAATATCAAACAGGAGACGCAGTCTTGTTTTAACAGTAACCATAAAGAAGCTGTGATGTGAGTTTCTGTGTCTCTCTGCAGAGTCAGACTCTCCCAGACAGACGGAGGTGGATCGCTCCCTGTTTTCCAGCTGAACGGGTGATAATTGAACAGGGACACTTGGGTGTAAACTGAAAATCTTCCAAATGGGACACACAAGGACTGGAAGGTCACTGGTTAAAATCCCCAGACTGCCTCTGATGCATTTAGGAACAATAACTACTGACAGAGTGCTGTTTGACAGCACAGCAGCTGCTCAGCAGCCTGCAGGGGACACTGGTGTTCAGATGACTTTCCATAGTAAATAAAGGTCACAGCAACACACACTGGAGGCAGCTGATGTTACTGAGCTCATTCACAGGCCCTGTACTGTGTTTTTAATGGATCAGTATCGGCTATAACAAATATATTTGTTCAGTGTAACTCTTTGATGATGGGAGAAACGCCTCAATGTGAATCTGTTCTGATCTAATGAACAAATAATCAGCAGCAGCTGAAACATTCATTGGTGACAAACTGACAGTGAGCAGAGCTGTCAGGTTTCAATCACTCTTTGTCTGTATGTCAGCAGTATTTTTCAGTGCTGCTGTTGGTACACAACCCACATCAGAACCCACTAACCCCTTATTTACAGGCTTAATCACAGTCACTACATGTCTTAGCTTGGCATGTCATGTGTTATTATTTTCAGACTATGTTGGGCTCTCACCAATGGTATAATTAGGCATGTAAACACGACTGGGCAGATCGTCCGCTGTTCCGCGGGACTGAAGTTATTATCGTCACTCAATAAATCTCTGCTTCGTTTATCCTTGTGGGGACTGACAAGGTCTTATTAAATGCCAACACTGTTCTGCATTTACATGAAGTGATACTATAGGACACTATAGAAAACATTAGAAAACATGGGCTTTATTTCCTTTTTGGTTTTTCAGCTGCCAAAGATGTAAACTGCACTGATTGTCAGCTTGGTGTTCAGATATGTTACTAATTAAATCATAAATATCAGATTCTCAGCAGATAATCATAATATAAACGGGCCAAAACCAGTGTGTTTGCAAGTTTTACTTCCTTGACTACAAAACAATGTTTAATTTGTTTGCTGACCAATGCATACTGTGTAGTTTTAGATGATCAGATGTATTTTTCCTTTAACTTCCAGGCAGCCATTGGTTCCATATTAAATTCTGTATGGCATAAAAAAAAGCATTATCAACATCTTTAATGTAACTTTTAAAAAAATGAATGCATGATGTTCACTGTGGTGGATTACACAGTAGTTAGTAGTGATGTAAAGTATAAAGTATTTGACTTAATAGGATCAAACTTGCAAACTCATTGACGTAGTCGTTTAAAGGACTGAGATCAGGAATGAGGATATTGCTAACTAAATGAATGGTTAATTATTTTTGACCAGGATGTAAGACTGATATTATTTATTGTATATAAGACAGAACCAGTATCCATGTTGTCTCTCTCTGTCCGTTGGTGGTCTTTGGAGAAAAGGCGTAGTAACATGGCAGAGTGAGATCCCACTGTGCTGATGAACTGAGGCATCCAAGCTCAACATTTATTGATTTATTATTCTATTTCACAGCTATCTTAATGAATCCATGGGATTAAACTCAAAAGTCACTGTGGCTGACGTTTAGAGAAAATGCCCATTTCATGGCTGCATTAGAAATGTAATTAACTCAAAGTTGTTTTTTTTTCCCTTTTGGTAATGATGCAGAGCAAACTGGAGCAGCAGACGAGTGAAGCAGTGAAGAGCGGTGCAGCAAAGACGACAGAAAAAAAGCGGTTACCATGGCAAAGCCAACATCAGCTTTCTTGAGGGCTGGGCCGTCGTTGGTACCATCTCCTGTCACTGCCACCACCTGTCGAGTTTCACCCACCGTGCTGTCAATGATGCCTGATCAAGTGGAACAAAAAACACAATTCTCTGTTATATAAATAGAGTCTATTTCAGTGTATGAACATGTCAGAAAAGACAGGAAGGACAAATGAATTCCCTTCTTCTGTCAGAGCTTTAAATACATGTAACAACTATCTACTGTAGGCTTAAAACCACACTTATCTCACCTTGTTCACAAGGACAAATAAACGTGAAAGCAGTGCTAAAATGTACTGAAGAATATACAATATATATCATATTCATCGTCATATTTTACTGAATCCCTGTAGGAATGAACCCACCTTTGACCAGAGTGTGTTTGTCTGTCGGCGAAGAACGAGCCAGAACGCGCAGTTTAGGCCAAACTTTGTCCAGACGCTCTTGCTCAACCTGAAAATGTAAAACATGAATGATCAGATTCTTTTGTCACAACTGAAGGAAAAATACTTCTTTAATAATACTTATGTTAACAAATTACACTCATTATGGGGAACGATCTTACCTCTCCGTTGTCGTTTCTGATCTGCTGGTTGAACTCCTTGCCCTCCAGACACAGGAAGTCCTCCCCAGGCAGAAGGATGCCACACTTGGTTGCGATGGCGCGGGCCGTGTTGATGTTGTCTCCAGTGACCATGCGTACAGTGATGCCTGCACGCTGGCACTTAGCAATAGCTTCAGGTACCTGTTAAGAGTGGAAACAGAAACATCATTAAACCTGAAAGATGAGCACAGATGTCAGAGAAACTTGCCAGCTCCTTTTCCTGATCTAACCATCAGTTTAAAGATGATAAAAGTCCATGACTGGAGCCTAAAGGAAGCTCATTCATTTACAAAACAAGTGAGAAACAGTCTGAGGGGGGAGTTTCTTGGTTGGGTTAATTTTTTTTGCTGAGGTGATGCGTCGTAAATCAGACCCAGAATCACATCTCCGGACGCCAACTTGCGAGACTAAACTGATCATGCAACAGCATAAGCAGGCTCTAGTTGAAATTCCATTCTTGCTGTTCTTTATCCCAACTGAGACCTCATTCATCTCAGATAATATGCAAAGAGATATAGACGGACCACTGTGAGGAGTCCATGATGACATAATGGTCAGCTGACGGGTTCTTCCCCTGCTCAACAGGTGGCTCAACTGGCATTTGACAGAGACCAACAGGAGGTCTATGTTTGCTTACACACACATGCATCATCTCTTTGATTCATGCAGAGAGGAGCCTTGACCGGAGTGAAGGAGTTGGATTGTCAGTCTTTAGAAGTCTCCACATGTTGAAATGGTGTTCATGGGGCTGTAGTAACAGATATATTCTGTATACAAAGACATTGGAGGGGGGTATCTTTTCTAAGGAAGCCCATTTCTGCACCGTGTTGAGAAAAAAAAGATCCTGTAATTCATAATAGAGAGCCTAAGTCACTCGCTTCCGCTTTTGGCCAATGGGACATTATTTTGGGAAAAGAGACAACTTATTTTTATGATCCTGTTTGAACTGTGCCCTGAATTACACATATGATGTTTGTCAATTTAAAAGATAACTTTGTCCGTCATGAAATTTGCAGTTTGTCGTAAAACAGTAAAGTTACATGTCGTTTTGTGTGAAAACCGAAGCTTCAGTAATATTAGCTTCAGTCATTGAGAGAAAAAGTTACTGCGTCACAAACGCAACGTTTGGGTTTGTATTCTTTGTAGTTATGTAATTTCACAAACTTACACTTCCAACAGTTTTACATCAAACAGCAACTTTCTTGACTTTTAAATGTATATTTTAAATTGACATACATCGTAGGTGTAATTCAGAGCACAATTCAAACTGGGTTAAAAAAATTTGTTATCTCTTGCCATTGACTACCGTACATATTTTTTCTTAAGTAAGGTCCCATGGTGGTCCACCGGAAGGGGAGGGACTTAGGCTCTCTATGAGAAACTTTCTCAAAATAATGACATAGCATTTAAAATAATGACTTATAGTACCAAAATAATGAGTTAGTATCTCAAAATATTGACTTAGTATCTCTTAGTAATCTCAAGTAATTATATTGAGATAATTACTAATTTTCTTGAGATACTAAGTCAATATTTTGAGAAGGTTTCTCATTATTTTGAGATAAGAAGTCATTATTTTGAGATACTATGTAAATATTTTAAGAAGGTTTTTCATTATTTGGAGAAGGTTTCTAATAATGACTTACAGTTTTTTACAGTGGTGGAAATGGGCTTCCATACTTTTAAATCATATTTCCAAAAGCTAAAAAAAAACAGGACCAAAAGTTTAAGTAATGGATTATATTTCATAAGATGTTAATGTTAGCAAGTCTGGCTAACTTGCTTACAACCTACAGCAATAGCATTACTTCCACAGAGAAAAAGGTATCATTATCATTATGTAGCTACATTATTTGTGGGGTTACAGGTTGTGGGAGCTGGTCCTGGATGCTCCTTTATCAGAGTTTAGGCTAATGTTAGTGACTCTGTCCTGATCTTTATTGAATTTGGGCAAGTTGACACTCCAGTGACTCCAGCTAACGTTAGCTATGACAGCATTACGTTCATCAAACACATCAGTTAGTCCTCATTTTAAATGCCCTTTCTCTTGTAAAAGTAAAGCACATTAGTTAAAACTGGGTTACGTTAGCATTAATAGCACTTTACTGCAATACTAAGGCTGACCAACTCTGCATTGCAGTTCAAGAACAAATCTGTTCATTTATTTCCATGGCTATTTCCATTAAGAACTGGCGAAGGTGCTAACTTTTTACACAGAACCTATTGGCTATAGCTTCTGGTAGCACAGTATTGTGATTACAGCCATCATGTGCATATTTAAGATCCTTTTACCAAGTTCTTGTTTTAAAACAAGTTGGCGTCAAGAGTTTTCAGCCACTGAGAGCACATGTTAATTAGCTAGTTTGGCACTTTACAGGGCTGGTTCGGGCAGCTTTACTGACTAACTGATGTGTGTCGTCAAAATGGCGCCAGTGTGTTTTGCAGTCAAGGAACTGACCGTATCATTAATTACAAGAGTCTATACAAGGGCTCTGCTCTTGATGGTGGAATTAGTCCCTTATACAGTGACAGTATGAGTGCAGACTACACGCCATCAGGTCACAGTTACATGCACACACGCGTTTCATGTTTAAGAATAATTTTGAGCCTTAGAGCTGAAATATTGAGAAGAGTCTTGTGTCCATCACATCACAGGTCGAGTAGAAATAAATGCTGTGCTGCTGAATGACTCCTGCTGCTCTCCAGTTATTTCCATCCTGTCTGTGATCTTTGTGCTCTGACATTAAAGCAGCAGGCAGCACTGATGCTTTCTGAGCTTCATTACAGGCTTCATTTAACTCTTCAGAACATCCAGACTCTGCACACCTGACTAGGACTCACCTCAGTCTTTATGTTAGGGAAAAAAACAGTTCATTTATCTCGACTATTAAATATTTTGCCCTAACATTTCTCCTTATTACAACAAATACTTTATTAGCAGCCTGCCAAATCAGTTAAGTTGTACTTATAGATTTCCGCTCTATGTTCTTCTCTTATGTTCAGGAATAAACTGAAATTCAGTTACTTCAGCCTACAGTGAATATAGGACATTTCAAATTACTGCAATTGTTATATCTAGTGTGTATATATATATATATATATATATATATATATATATATATATATATATATATATATATATATATATATATATATATATATATATATATATATATATATATATATATATATATATATATAAATATATATATAATAAAACTGAAGTCTGACATGAACAAAGACGATTACTATAGGTAACAGAAGCTGTAGGCTCTTACAGCAGTTCATCACATTACAAACACACAACCACTTCTGTTAAATGTATGTGAGAAAAGACTGAAAGTGTGCACAACTATCTCCATTTGTATGATTCATAGTGTCCAGACACAAAGACACACAAAAGACAGAAAGAGGAACAGAGATATCTGAGAGGCAGTAGATGGCTTTTCATCACACTTTAACCGATGACATTCAACACTGTTGGAAGATCACATTTTTAACGGTGATTTATTATTAATCATTAACAAGCCTAATTTCCAGCCATGAACATAACTCAGCATCGGGTGTTAACAACAGGAAATGTTGTTAGGCTGATATCTGTGTGGGCAGGATTAAATGTGCTGTGTACCTCAGGTCTGACGGGGTCCTCGATGCCGACCACAACAATGCAGGTGAGCTCGTTCAGGATGTCATTCTCATTGTCCCATTCCGGCTCTCCAGCCTCGGCGGGAAAGTCCCTGTAAGCCACGCAGATGGTCCTCAGCCCGTCACACGCCATTGGCTCAATCACCTTACGCACCATTTCGTCACGGTCCTTTGGCTTGAAGATCCGAGGCTGACCCTGGGCGTCCAAGATACGAGAGCATCTGGGAGAGGAGAGAGAGACAGAGGAGGAGGAGAAGGGGCAACATTAGGTAGGGTGAGAAATGCCATCCATCCATCCATGCATCATCCATCCCTCTTCTCTCAGGCAGATGAACATTTCCTACTTTCTCAGGACGATCTCTGACGCTCCTTTGCTGTACATGCGGAAGCCTCCATCAGGGTTCTTCAGCACCGTGCTCATGGACTTGCGGGATGAGTTAAAGGTGTAAACCTTGTACAGTTTCTCTTCGGGGACCTCCTCTCTGATTGGCTGGTAGTCCCTCTTCAGGTCCAGCACCAGGCCCAGCAGAGCACACTCAGTCTTGTTGCCCACGTGGCGGGGCAGGCCACCTTCTTTCTCTGGAGGCTGGGAAGGGAAAAATGGGACATTTTGTCCAGTCCTCACGACTTCAAAGAGCTGTTTTTAGGCAGGGTTTTAGGGTTAAGGGAAAGATAAGTTAGGTTCATGTTAGTGTTGTGGTCAGATGAAGGTCTCACCAGGATCTTGGTGGTGTACGCCGAGTTGATGGAGATACTGTTGACCATCATTTCCAGAGTCTCTGGTTTAATGGCGTCGGGTTCAGGGACGGTTTTGTAGTGCTTGTCACCAATGTACGCCTGCACCACCTTCATGCGGTTCATCGTAAGCGTGCCAGTCTTGTCCGAGCAGATGGCTGTGGCGTTGCCCATGGTCTCACAGGCGTCCAGGTGACGCACCAGGTTGTTGTCCTTCATCATTTTCTAAAATATCAAGGACACGATCAGAGGCTGAGGTTTCAGACATAGTGAGCATAGCATGATTCTGTGAGGAAATAAAAATAAAAATCCATTCATCTAACAATTCCTACAATCCCCTTTGCTTCCCCATCCTGCTTACCTTGACGGAGTAGGCCAGAGAGATGGTGACGGCAAGCGGCAGCCCCTCAGGAACAGCCACCACCAGCACTGTCACACCAATGATGAAGAACTTGACAAAGTACTGAATGTAGATGGGGGTGCATTCTGCCAGCCAGGACCGACCCTGGACCGCGAAATTGTCGATCACAAAGTAGAGGATGAGGATGATGACGGTCACAGCCGACATGATCAGACCTGGTTAGAGTGAGCAGAATGAGCTGAGTTTAAACACAACACTTCCTAATCATATCAAGTTAGTTCTATATGTAGAGGCCACTGGTCGCCACATGTTTTATTACAGCATGAAATATGAATTACATACTGTAAAATGTCATTACAGTTATTAGCTTGTTTTTTCCCCATATTATTTGATATGATTTTAAAACATATCGTGGTGCGTTCAGGGACAATCTGATGCCCAATAACTCGTGAAAGTTTGCTACAAAGCAACGACAACACATATTTTTGAAAATTTGTAATTCAGAGAACACAGAGTAAGGATTGTACTAATGTGATTTTGGTTGTTTCATGCAGTTTGCAGACACGTACTATATAATCACAAGTCCCAGGTTTGGATTCGGACCGGGGACCCTCTAGCTCTTTCTCCATATTTTCTGTCTGTCTTAATCAATTATCAAATAAAAGCAAAAACGTATTATTGGTTATTATTTTGGCAAAACAGTGAAGGAAGCCTCTGCACTTAACAAAACAGCAAGTCAGACAACTAATCCAACACTTTTGTTTTTCTGCCTCACCGCTCCTGTCAGTCACTTCCTCTCAAAAGGGGTTTGGCCCAAATTCTATTTCTGTCCAGTAATGAGGGGCAGTTTATTACTGAAGCTAGTTTTTTGCTGGTGCCCCACCCTCCACTCTGTCCTGAAAGCCCCTCAGTGTATTAAGGTCAATTGAAATGACACACAAAATACCTTCTTCAATTCTGGGATGAATCATGTTCCATATTAAAACATCTATCCAATAAAACTGAGTGCATTGTGACCTTCAGCCTCTCAGTCCCTGCTCTGTCTGATCACTTTGTGTGCTATTAAATGGAAGTCCCATATTTCTAGAAATCTTATTGTTCTTTGTCTTCCACCGAAAAATAAATCCACAAGCTCTAAAGCGGTTTGATGTCATGTTGTATCTTGTTAGCTAACGAGCTACCACCAATTAATCCTTAAGCATAAACAGGTCCTCAGTATGAAAGCAGATTAATAAAGGCGCGTTACAATGACTTTGCAAAAGTCATCAACATCAGCATGTTAGCATTGTCACTGTGTGCATGTTAGCATTTAGTTTAAAGAACCGCAGTGCTCAAGTATAGAGCTTAACAGAGCTCCTAGCTCTGTAGAGTTGTTTAGATAAGCTAAAGGGGAGGGTCCTGTCAGAATTTTAGTGTACTTCCTGTTTAAATACTGTCTTAAGACCAGTCTTTTTATAAGTGTGTTAACTGAGTCCCCTTAATTATTAAAATACCACTAGTTTACTCATTTATTTTTATAAAACATTTTGGTTAATACATGTTGATTGTAATGTGTTCCATAAATAAATTGATCTGACTGGACCTGGAGTTGTTGGATGGTGGCTTTATTCACTTTTGATGGAGCTAGGCCAGCAGTTTCCCCCTGCTTCCAGTCTTTGTGCTAAGCTAGGCTAGCTATTTGTTCTGGACCTATGTACTGGACAAACAGAATGAAACTGATATGGTGTGTGTGTGTGTGTGTGTGTGTGTGTGTGTGTGTGTGTGTGTGTGTGTGTGTGTGTGTGTGTGTGTGTGTGCGCGTGCGTGTGTGTGTGTGCGCGTGCGTGTGCGTGTGCGTGCGTGTGCGCGCTCCTTACCAGCCTTGCCAATCTGTACAGCCAGTCTGGTCAGTTTGCCCTGCAGCACAGACTTCTCCTTCTTAGTCACGTTGACCTTCTTCACTGGTTTGACCTCTTCTTTCTCCTCCGACTCGGCAGCCTCATCGCTCTTCAGCGGCTGAATCTCCAGGGCAATGCCATCCTGGGTTTTGGCTGGGGGGTGAGGGTGAGGGGGGTAAAGTGGTGGTTGTGGGGTAAATGGAGGAGGAGGCAGGTTTTAAGGGGCCAATGGGTGAGGAGAGGGAAGGTGGGACCAGGGCGGAGAGTAAAGAGAGATGAGGGTGAAGAGGTTTAGGAGAGGTCAGGAAAAGGTTTGTGATAAAGAGGTGAAGATGTAAGAGGGAGAGAGGCAGGTAGGGGACACAGTAATGATGGGAGAAGGCAGAAGGTTGTATTGTAAGGAATGAAGATGGAAGAGAGGAAAGTTGGTTGGGAGCAGAGGATGAAGGAAGGCAGGACGGGTCGACAAAAGGTGAATGAATTAAATCAATAAATAATAAATTACAAAACAAAACAAAAAGAAGGAAGGAGCAGGATTCAGGAGTGATTTGGGGATGAAGGGTAGAGAAGCAGAAAAAACGTTACAGATTCAGTCAGAGGGAAAGCTGAAAACGACCGGACGAGTTTTCTCAGAGATCAAAAAAGACCTCTGACTCTTTAATATTAACATGTTGACCCTTTGGCTGAAAGTAGCATTTCATCAATTTATGATCACAGAGCATTCATGGAAAGGTCCAGGTAGCTTTCAGAGTGTCACATACGAGTTGGGAGCAGCAGTTCATAATGAAGAGCAGCAGACAGAACAGAAAACAGCAGATACAACAGAGAGGATTTAACTGGGGGCTGTCAATCTCACACACACACACACACACACACATCACTGTGTTTATTTAACATCAGAGCTCAGAGTTTGGAACAAGTTCTGAAGTCTGACATGGCGTCTGGTTTCACGTCCTGCTCGGCGGCTCCTCATTTGCATAAACAAACTGTGTATTTGCGTTTCACTTCATCAGCCCGGATCCTGTTTGGACTGTAGTACTGTAAGTGGAGCTTTTTAATCTGTTTGATCTCTGCTGAAAAGCTCACACTGAATTCAGCTGCGCTCCCCCCATCCACTGTTGTTTATCATATATACCAAAGAAATGTGAGCAGGTGATGAATGGAAAAAGAACAGATCTGCACTAATCTGACAGTTTTGATGTGCTGTTCGTCCTCGTGCACAACTGAGCTGACAACGCTGACTGAAACCGGGATGATTTTATCTCGAAATCCCGACAATTCCTCGTTGTAATTAACATTAAATACTGGAAACGTTCTCATAGAGTCATTGAATTAATACACAAATACTCAAACGTCTCTGCTGGTAACAATGTCAACATCACTTCTGGAACCAACAATACCAACAGATCATGGACATAAAGCAGGTTTAGATTCCTGGATGACCAATAAGAATTTTAAAAAAAATACATGAGAAACTTCAGGTGTTCGCTGCAAAACGCTGCCACAGAATTTTAATGACATTCAAACACAAGTCAAAAGTGAAGATGCAAATGTCTGTTGGAGAACCTGTTTCTATTGTCCTGTTTTTATTACCCACTGAGGTGTCAAGTAACAAAGCCTTTTGGAAGCAGCCAAAAGCAAAAAAGTCAGTAATAATAATAATAATAATAATAATAATAATAATAAGAGCATTGGAATCTGTAGTGTTTGGGAGTGGAAACCATACAATCCTCTTTTGTGCCGTTTCTTCAATAAGTTTTTCAGCAGTGAGTTGAAAATGAATGGTGTTTAACCATATTGACTGATTGGTCCTTATGCAGGACCAACATTTAGCCTTTCGTATGAATTATGTACAGACAGATGTGGAGGAAGATCATTTTGTTGTTTTGCGCATTTGTTTGTAAGATAGTGTGAAGGTGGGGACGCTGTGAGGCTTACCGGGCGTAGGTATTAAGACGAACATGACATATTGTATGTGTAGCTATATTTTCCAGGTTAGTGAGTATGCCTATTCTTACACTGAACAAAATTATAAATGCAACACTTTTGTTTTTGACCCAATTCGTCATGAGCTGAACTCAAAGATCTAAGACTTTCTCTATGTACACAAAAGGCCTATTTCTCTCAAAAATTGTTCACAAATCTGTAAAAATCTGTGTTAGTGAGCACTTCTCCTTTGCCGAGATAATCCATCCACCTCACAGGTGTGGCATATGAAGATGCTGATCAGACAGCATGGGTATTGCACAGGTGATCAGCACAGAGGTCATAGTTAAAGGTAGTGTTGTGCTGTTGTAACAGATTATATTCAGAGGTGTTTCTAATTTTGTGTCCTCCCTATTTATCAATATTATATACATGAGAGGGGCAGAATAATAGAAACACCTCTCAATATAATGTAGTCCAACACAAAAACACAACTAACTACAACCTTGATGCTAAAGCATATAATTTAATTAACACCTCTCTGACAGAAACAAAGCTATTATAGAGGTGCTAATGCATTGTAAACTGACATTTAAGACGTAATTCCCAGCTGTGTAGTGTGACAAGCTTTCCAGTGATTTTTTTCTCGCTACGTTGCAATGACAAGTTGTGAAGTATTTTGGCCTTTGCTGATTCCTGACAGTAACAGGAGATAAAAGGTCACCTTTTATGCAGTAATTTGCACTGATTATGCTAATGACCAAATCTCAGAAACGTACACCTCCTCACGATCAGGGGTTATCCATCAAGTTAAAACAAGCGATTTCCAACAAGGGATGTTTGTACACTTGCTCGTTCACACTCATACAAATAAATAAATAAATATTAGACAGATCTAAGACAGATTTTGGATATGAATACGGAACTTGAACCAGGAGAGTGGTGTTCATGTCCTGTGTGAAACAAAAAGTCAACATTAAATATTTTTATTTAAGTTAAGATACATAAATTGCGTAAGCTACGAAAGTGACATAAGTTAACTTACGTGTTAACTGAGGTACGTAGTTATTTTAACCCAAACCATGATCTTTTCCTAACCTTAACCAAGTAGTTATGTTGCCTAAACCTAACCAAGTAGTTTTTGTGCCTAAACCTAACCAAACTGCATTGTTTCACAACTTTAATAACGTGCTGTTTCAAAAAGGCAATGTTTCGAAATGCTAGCATTTTATTTTGAAAGTGTAACTGGACGTTGCATATTTATTGTTGCTAACTTTACCGGACATTGCATATTTGGTTTTTCAGGAGTGAGAATGTGTTAGAATACAAAAACGTTCTTGCATGGGGCTCAATGTCACTAAAAAGAAATCTACTAAGATGACCAACATTTCCTCCCACTTCACTGTTCAAACATCCACAGTGAGCTTGGGGATTTGAGACAAAACCAGCACGTAGTAATGTGGTTTTTTGGATACTTTAGTCCTAAAACTCCTTTACTGTCATCATCCCTGCCTCACTCTGAGTTCCATCAGGTTCATAATGAGAACTTCACACACAGAATTTTGCTAAAAGGGAAGTCATTTCATGACAGCGTGACCTCAACATGACATTTAGACATTCTGAGTGTGGGGATGAGTCAGTGTCAAACCAGGAAGCCGTGGAGCTTTATGTACATGGTCCACTCTGAAGACAAGCCACAACATAGAACTAACCGACACAGCTTCACATGAACAGGACTGAGACCCACTGACCAACCACAGAACTGTAAACAGGCGCAGCACTGAACCATGGGAGAGCGCACGGCGGGCAGAGGGGAGGGGGTGTCTGACAATCAAAAAGAAAGCAAGTCAACAAACAGAAGACGAACTGAAAGGATCACCCCAAAAAAACGAAAAACGACAGCGATGCAGAACCACGACAGAGAGAGACAGGAGGAGGTAGAGGAGGCTGCAGAGCTGTGGAGGCTGCAGGAGACTTCAGCAAGACATAAAAAAATAACAGAGGGAGAGAGTCAAACAGTGATTACAAGACAACATGAAGTCCTGAGCAACACCCTGCAAGGAGGCAACAGTGAGAGAAATGAGAGGAATCAAAGGCAAAAAGAAAAGGAACACAAACAGAACAGACGACAGCCCACAGCCCATAATACTGCAAGGGTGCAACTCCCACACACACTGACAGCCTCGCTTCAGCCAAAAAACATCACTGCACTGTTTGAATCACTTGTTTTTTATCAACAGTGTCAACAGAAAGTCACAATCATCAGAATATAATACATGTGTTGAAATGTGTGATAGGAAAACTGAACATGTAGCATTTTAAATCCTCCACAAATTCCCAAATACAATGAGGCCTTCATTTTTTCCACTGTCAACAAAACTCAACAATTCCTGCACAGATTTTTCACATTAAAAGCCTTCCAACAGACCCCTAAATTCCAGTTAGGCTTTTAATGTGCAACATCTGCAGGAAGTGTTGAGATCCATTGATGATCATTTAACATTAATAAAAAAAAAAAATCAAAGTGGACAACAAAGTGGAGGTGATTGAGTGAATGAAAACAGTACTGGTGTTAAAAAAGAGAGTGAGAGCAGCAGAGTGGTGAGTATGACATGAGACATCGCACAACAACAGTGAATTACTCTGTTGCTCTCACTTTCTCTTTTAACAATAATACTGTTTTCATTCACAAATGTTTTCCATGTTTCTTCTATTTTTTCTAACACTGTTGAGCTGTCAATTAAACGTCCTGTACAGATGTTTCACTTTAAAAGCTTTTCAGCAGCTGTAAAGACTAAAATGATTTGTAGATCAATCAACAAGCCCATCTATAGAAAATGATTTGGCCACTATTCTGAAAAATCATTTATTGTTCAAAGTCATATTTCAAGAAAATATGCCAAACTTCTCATTTGTAAGGACTGGCTGCTTTTTTGTCTCAAGTGAAAACCGAACATCTCCAGGTTTTAGAAGTGTGATGGGCAGATTACTCATCAGTGAAAATAACCCTAACAGTCTCTTTTTCTTAGTAGGCTTTTATAGTGAAACAACTGCAGGACATGTTTATGTTCATTGATTGTAGCTTCACAGTGATAGGAAAAAAAACAGCAAAGTAGAAGCATTTGAAGGTATCAGAAAAGTATCCATACATTGTGGTGTGTAAAGGGGCATAAATTGATTTTTTTTGGCCACTAGGGGGCAGAACTCCACTATAAGCTGACAGATACACAATTCTTTCACATAAAGTGCAAACAGCTGCCTACTTCTACATCTAGCAGACACAAAGAAGCATCATCATCCCATTAGACTCGTTCGAGAACGGCTTCCTGCAGCTGGTGGTATCGTGGCTGATGAGAGCGCTGAAACTAAACCATACAGTAAAATGTGCAGTGAAACCAAAACTATAAGCTAAAGGAGGCTCAATAAGCTCAATAAAGCTGCAGAGAATTCTCAGTGGGCGCAGAACTTAAAAGCTACAAAGCAGTCCATGCGACTGAAGGCGTTTCTGCAGATTTTGTCCTTTATGTGTTTTTAGTAGAGGTCATCCATGACGGCTGCTCTGTGAATTATTTCTGTGTGCTAAAGTGTGATGATCGTCCAAGAACAAAGACTGTGTGTGTGTTTCTGTGTACATCAAGAAGCATTCTGTCTGCAGCAGATGCTCAAACCATGGGAGGTCGGGAGGAGGGGAGTGTGTGTGTGTGTGTGTGTGTGTGTGTGTGTGTGTGTGTTGTGACACCTTGCAAAGGAAGTTGGACATGTGTTGGATGATCACACGGGACATGGAGGACGGTTGGCTTGTCGAGTTTGGAGCACTGACGTCATCAACACAAACACACTGTCATCAAACCCATTAAATATTTAATATGCAAAGGCACTGAGGGAGCGCTTGATTTCAACAGTGTCACCCATGAAGGACACCTTAGAGGTCAGACTACATGACAGAGTGACCGTGACGGAGTTGTACTTGTGTCTCAATTCTCAGGGCACAATGGGATATTTTGAGGACAGAAAAAGAGTCTTTGCAGCCACAGAAATTATATTTTGTACAGAAATTTTTATCACTCAAAGAATAATTTTATTTTTGCTAACAAAACTTTGTTTTGGACTGAATAAATATATTTTGTGTTAGATAATATCAAGATGTAAAGATGATACAAAACAAATTAAAAGCTGAATGTCTAGATTACTTAACAATCTCTCAAAAATAAATGGAAAACTGACCTAGACGAAACAATCTCAGAGGCAGTCTGGCAAAATTATACAGAGAATTTAATTTTCCTCAATATGCCTTAGACACACTGTAATTTAGTTGAAAATTGTTCACCATCTTCACTGGTCCAAAGATAGATTATCTAAGATTAAGGCAGACTTGGACCCAACATGATGTGATAGAGTTAAACAAGCGCCTGCCGCATTTATACATACAGTATGTTCTGGTCATGTCTGTATAGATTTTGGCATGAATGTTTCTGACACCTTCTCTAGAATATGTGGGAAACAGTAGACCCATCTCCATTAATTTCTCTGTTTGGTGTAGCCCCAGTAAATGTTCCCTTTAATGTCTGCAATATGATGATGATATATAAGTGGCCTCTTTAAAAAAAAAAAAAAGAGTATTTCCCCTTGAGGGATTAATAAAGTTGTCTTCTTCTTCTTCTTCTTTTGCTCCTTGTTGGCCAGAAGGCTTATTTTATTCAAATGGAGGGATTCTCTTCCTCCATTTCCAAGGTCATGTGTCTTGTCCACCAAGAAAAAATCTGACATACCATTAGAGGGTCCACCAGAAAATTCTATGCCATGGCAGCTACCAACACAACTTTGTAATCCCAATTGTGTTTGGTTTTGGTTTTTGCTTCCTTCTTTATTTGTTATTTTTTCTGTAGCCTCCATTTTCCATGTGTAACGTACACCTATTTCTATGAATGCATTTATATAGATTTATTTTCGTATAGATGTCTGGCTGTACATAAATTTACCAACGGTCTGGTTCTTGGGGGGCGGAGGGTTTTGAAGTTGATGGGATATAGGGTACAATGATAACCACTTTCACTTTACTCATTTGCTCTCTCTCAGTCTCCCTGCAGGCTCGCCCAACCTAAGCAGTTTAAATGGTTTTATTTGGATATCTTGTTTGTTTATTAAAGGTTTATTAAATTCTGCTCGGAAGTTAATGTGTATTTTATTAACTTGCAGACTAGTTCTAGCTAGCAAATGTCAGCCAGATAAGCAGCTGATAATTAAGCTAGCTGGCTAACTTGATCGTTGTCTGTTACACAGCCAAGGAATTATAATAATTTTAAAATAATTTTAAAAAACTGAACTCATCTGTGCCTCAAATATTTTAACTCAGCAACACAAGTGCTGGCAATGAGTGTGGGCCCAGGGCTGCAACTAATGATTATTTTCATTATCAATTAGTCATTTTGATGGTGATTAATCATTAATTCTACAAAATTTCAGAAAATAGAGACACTGTCAATCACAATTTCCCAAAGCCTTGACCAAGAAAGCCAGCAAATATTCACATGTGAGGAGCTGAAACCAATTAAGTTTGGAATATTAGCTTAAAAAATTATTATGAAAATAGCTAATGATAAATTCAATCACAGCAATTGACTATTGATTAATTGACAAATCATTTCAGCTCTAACTCACCTTATAGCATGCTTTTAAAATTAAATGTAGAACAGCAAATATTATTAATTCTTAATAATAATTTCTTAAGATTGTGATCTATTTTAAATTCAGAGGCAACGTTAAAGGTAATTTTTTACTTGAACTACATTAATGATTATAATGTCTTGGCCGTGTAGCCAGTAATCATAAAGTTAGCCAACTAGCTCAGTACAAAAGCAAATGATTAAAACTGGTAAATTGGTCTTTGAGTGATAAATTCTCTACAAAATATAATTCATGTGGTTGCACAGACTCTTTTCTGTGCTCGCTCTCAGAGTTTAAGGCACAAATATAATTCCACTGTGACCATACGATAGTGAGTATGACAATTGTGGACGCTGTTATTGGCTGTCAAAGACCTGAAGGTTGAGAGTTGCACCCTTTTACAGGTAAAGCAAGGCGAGAGAACGTCCCCTTTATACAGCAGAGAGAGAGAGAGATGGACTGGACACTCCCCTCCTGCCGCTAGGTGGAGGGTGAGGAGGGGGTGAGTAACAGGGAAGATGGAGGGACAGAGAGGGACAGATGGATGAATGGAGGGGTTACCTTTGTTGCGATTTTCGGGGGGTCCTTGTTTTTTACCTGTTCGGACAGAGAGAGAGGGCGGAATGCTGATAAGATGGCTCAAAGGAAAAATAAGATCAAATCAAACTGAGGGCGAACACAAAGTTCAAACTGACAGAAACCCACAGGTGTGTGTGTGTTGTGTGTGTGTTGTGGGCAGGAATGGACCAATCAGAGTAGAGAGACGCACGACTTCCTTCTGCAGAGAACCAACAGCCACAATGTTTGACAGCAGACTTAATTTACTGGTAGTTCAGTGATCAAAATAAAAATTTAGAGAAATTCACTTGAATGTTAAACAATGATGTATTAAACAAATATACTTTATTGTTTTGATATATCATAATACTTTGTGTACATACACAATCAGTTTTACATACTACCTTATTGTTTATATAGTATATTGGTTTTGTACACCGTGTATTTTATTGTTCATTTAAATATTCTTTCATCTTCATCATTTATCTATATGCACTTAATACCGTTTGTAGTTTAATGCTAAATTGTGTTTCATTGTACTGGTGCCTCATCTGTGCACTGACAATAATGTTTAATCTAATCTGTACTCTAATTTACTTGATTGATCAAACAACATAATCACAATAGTCACTTGTAATAACTTTGGTGAAATTATGGTTTTTCATCAGGTCAAACATTTTTTGAAAAAAACTTTAGTTTATGACCAAATACTTGCAAAAAGAAAGAATGACATTCCCTAATGCTATTGGTGGTCAGTCTGAAGGGTTAACAAGTTTTTGTTATTGGATGCTAATCATGAATTGCAACGTCCCCAGTTCCAGTCTGGTGGGGGACCGTTGCTGCATGTCGTTCCCCATATTGCCCTCATTTCATTTCCTGTCTTCTCTCTACTGTCCACTTTCTCGTTAAGGCAGCCAATAAATAGAATTTTGTGAGGTCAAGGTTTGATTTTATTTGACCCAACTCCTAACAATGGTTCTAACCTGGACTATTATTTGGGGAAGAGGGTGCTGACTGGTCAACTGTGCGGACTGGTTCAGGTTGTTCAGGCTGAACTCTGATCTTCATGGCTGTTTGCATATGAACATGCAAATCTTAACATCTGTTATTGATCCTTGTCAGCTGTCATATCTTGATCAGATATTTGACAGATGCAGGTCATGTGCATTCCCTCCTCAGGGACATTAACTTCCTGCCCTAATATGAAGCTCTCCGCTTTTATTGTTAAAGGAGGTGTGGCAAGGTCAACATGAATGCACACACACACACACACACACACACACACACACACACCTCTTTGTTATTCAGCTGGTGGGTTGTGATTGAAGACAGAGACTGAACTTGTGCACTTCTGCAAGCATGTGTTTATGCGTGCACTCTGTGTTTACTCCTATGCTTGTAAGATTGTGTGTAGAGGGAGTTGATGCAGCCACACAACAGTGCTTGTAATTTGTAAGGACCCATTAAAGTTTTAGACTTGGTAGGTGTGGACCATTTTAAAAGGGAGGGCACTCCTTACTTCCAGTAAGATTTCTTACTTATTTAAAGGGTATTTTGAGGGTTCAGGTTTGGTTTTAGGATTATGGTTAGAATGAGGTATAGATTAGGCTTACGGTTAGGGGATCTATTTTGTCAATGAGGGCCCTCACAAGCGCAGAAGTACAGACAGTATGAAATTAATCTAAATGCCCTCATCTTCTGCTCATTTTCAGTTTTAATTTCATTTGAATCTCTTGTGGTTCTCCTCATTAGGAATTCATTACTGGTTTGTGTTTTTAAAATCAGTGACTGGATGCCGAAATGTAAACCTCAGCGTCTCTCTCTGCTGAGCTGGTACATTCAGCCAGTTCACAATGAATGCCTGACAAACTCAAACTTTAGCCAATAAAACAAATGATCAGACAAAAACAAACTAAAGAAAAAGACATGAGTAAAAGGGGGTTAGCATGATCACAAGCAAATCATAAGCAATAGAGACCGACTGCAGAAGCCTGTTGGTGTTCTTCAAACTGCTCTGTGATAGTAGGAGGATTGTCTGGACTTTGGCTTTTGAAGGGTTCCACTTTGAAAAGCAACAGTATGTAAACAGAGGAAGGTGTGTTTCACATTTTTAACCAACATTAATCACTGTCAAATCAATACCACAGTCCAGTGGCCATAAACTACCATGAATAAATGAGACCATGATGAAGTGTTTATTCAAGTGACCAATCAAACTCGTGTTTTGTCTGTCCACAGGTCTGTGTGGAAGGTCTGAAGGTCCTTTTTAAGGTCTGTGTGGAAATGCAAAGCATTGACTGAAATGCTCACAATGATTCATTGTTTACAACAATTATTGCTGTTGCTACACCTAGCAACTAGCAATTATTCCATTTACAATAACAGTGGATGAATAACCTTTAAAATAATGTTAAATTTTTTATGTCCTTAATTTTAGGCAGAAGTAAACAAAAGCAGCCTCTCATTTTCTCATTTTCTAGAAAAAACAAAATCACTGATAAAAACTGCCAGTCATTTTTAACTGATAAAAATGATCAGCTCTAGCTACCAAAATAGGGAACGTCAAATTCTCTGAGTTACTTGAAAACTCTCTTGATTTCAGTTGACTTTTTTTAATGTTTCCAACTGATTCTGTAAAACGCTCTTAAATATGCATTTAATGGCCACATTAAACATTTACAACAACTCAGCATCATCATGCAAAACAGACTACAGCTCAAGCTAACAGGTCCCAGGTACAACTACAGCATTCTCACCTGTGGAGGGGTTTCGAAAACTGTGAAAATAGAAGTAAACTTGTGAACTTTGCTGTTGTGCACATCCCTTTTGGTCAGATACTTAAATTGCATGTCAGTTGTGGATCACTACAGGTGAACTCATCCATGGTCTCATTTATTCACTGATGATGCTTTGTAATCTGATTGAAGCTCACTAATGTTAAATTATTGTAGTTAAACCCTTCAAACAGCCCTGCTGTTATCAGCTCAGACTGGATGAACTCTATCTGCTGACAGAGTTGGCTTGTAGGACAAGAGAAACTTCAAATCAACACCAGCTGATAAAAACGTGCAAATATTTCCAATCTGCACTGTTCAAACAGTAGAGTAGAAATATTCAGAAGCTGACAGAGCGATAGTCGTCTTTCTAGCCGAACTTCCCTTCCAGCACTTCACACATGTCGTATGACCTTCAACACTTCAACATGAGCTGTGACTTTTGAGACGTGTGTGACAGGCTTTGTCTTGTGTCTTACTTTTCTTGACCTTCTTCTCTTCTTCGTTCTCGCTGGCGCCCAGAAGAGTAAAGATGATGCCGGTCTGAGAGTTGAGGCCGACGGCTGACACCACCATCCGGCCTGATCCTTCCATTACATGGGTCCCTGAGGAAAGATTTTTAAAAAAAAGAAGAAACAGAAGTCACAACTGGAACTTGGTATTTAACTGTCACTGTGTTACTATCATTTCTATATCTGTCTAATAATATTTTCTTCAGCTGCATCACAGAATTATAAAGACTTGAAACACACTTTGTGTTTTACTTCACTGGTGTTACAGTTTGCTGATATTATAAACCTGTAGAGTTCCCCAAGGATCAATCTTTGGGCCACTACTTTTAAATCTTACAGTATGTAGCCTGTTGGTGGTGTCGTCAGGAGACAACGCATATCTTTCTATGCTGATGACTCACAGCTTTATATGGCTGGGTCTCCTGATGACACGGGACTAATTGTTGGTGTTTTTAGATATAAATTTTAGAAATAATTGCCTGGATGTCACAAAAGTCAACAAGGATACTCCAAACATATTAGTTATAGATTCTGAGGCTCAGAGAAAGAAACCAAATTTCATGCTTTTCATGGGACACACCCGCTATTAGATTCTGATCTAATATCTGATCACGCTCTCCATACAAATTACATGCTAGTAGATTGATTAAAAATAAAGCTGTAAAGCTTATAAGTTACCTCCCCTGTCTGAATGTCACCTATATTTCAGCACCATGACTGGTTCATAAACCAGTCATAAATAGAGGCTACATTATGAAGACACAAACACAAAGAATCTTCCGAAATACCTTTCATGTATGTTGACTTTTGCCTCTTTCACTTAGCTCTACAAATTTTTATGTTAGAGATTGAAATGTCCATCAACATCTTTGGTACAGACAGATTATCGTGTAATAGCAGAAAAATGTTTCCTCTTACATTTAATCTAACGTTTAATGTGATTTAAAAGAACAAACAACAAAACAAAATAAATTGACAAGTTGATCACAAAGTTTGTTTCTCCAGGACTTGTCCTTGCTCTTTTTTGTGCACTAAGTGACATAAACATAGTGTTAATATGTTTAAGTGATTTGATATATTTTTCCATATGTATTGGTAATGTATTAGCAATTGCTTTACCGTTTATTTGAAACATGGTTTTCCATGCGTCTCCAAGCAATATGCATGGATGCTATATATTTGTACTGTCTTATTATTAGGTTGTCAGTTACCAGTAGAGCACTCTGCACTGCACAACACAACCTGTATGAAAGGTGCTATACAAATAACACTTGATCAATTGATTTGATTGATCATTTGTCCTAACACCTGGTCTGGTCTGATTTGGACATAATGCACACTGATTATAAAACAAGATCTGATTCCACATTGTGCTTCAGAGGATTTTCCTTTCAGATGAGAATCAAAATGAAATGTGTTTGTTTAAGTGTAGTAAATATCACTAGTGTCATGGCACTGTGAGCAGGCACTCACCGGACAGCAGCATGGGGTCCTTCTCCAGAGACTTGCGAACCTGATCGGACTCTCCTGTCAAAGAGCTCTCATCGATCTTCAGGTCGTTGCCTTGGATCAGGATCCCATCAGCAGGCAGCAGGTCTCCTGCAGGCACAGAGGTCATAGTGTGCATTTCATTTGCATGCATTTGCTCTGACAAAGGCTGAACACCAAAACATTACATTAAACACTTCAACCCAACTGCTGAGCACATACTGTTTAGCTCTCTTATTAATGCTAGGACAGATTTTATTGTAAAATACTAAAATAGAAATAACTGGAATTTTAAAGTATAACAGATCCTAGGAATCGACAGCACTCTCAGTCACCCATTCAGTGATGCTTTGAGATGAAAGTTTAACAAAAAAAAGACGAAGGAGCATGTAAAATTCTTAGGTGTAATGTTTTTAGCATGTATTTATATTTTCTTTCATCCTCCTTAAACATGTAATTATGATGCATCACTTTCTGTGTATGGGAAGATTTCCCATCAACCATACCCTATATGACCAATAGGACAGCCCTGTCCACATACTTAAGTGTATTTTTGGTCTGGCTCCATTTTCCCTGGTTTGGTCTAGGGTTCTTAGTTCCAGTGAAGGGAAATCTAAATGTGCCAGCATGCAGGAATTATGTTTTAAAAAATAGTACACTTCCAGCTTTGTGTCAACAGTCCAGGGAAGGTCCTTTCCTGTTTGACAGGTTCATAAAGAAACGCTTTGTGAATTTTCTGTGCCTGAGCTAGAGCGAATGAGCCTGAGGGGTTTAAGTAAAACTCTCAAGGCTTAAAAATATCTTAGGACAAAAAGCAGGAACCATCCAGTCATGTTTAAGTCTGCCTTTAAACTAATGAGGCAGTTATTAACATCACAGTCTGGTGTCTGTGGTCTCCTACCGTATTTGATCTGAGCAATGTCTCCCACCACAATCTCAGCCACAGGGATCTGGATGACCTGGCCTTTACGGATGACAGTGAACTTTTGTTCCTGCTCGATGCGACTTTGCAGCCCGCGGAACTGCTTCTCCTTAGACCAATCATTGAAGGCCGTCACCAGGACCACAATGATGACCGAGAACAGGATAGCGGCACCCTCGATCCACCCAGCCTGGGACTCACCCTCGTCCTCGACACCGCCTGCAACCTGGCCACATGCTGCGAGAATACGATGACACATTGAATTTGAATCACTTTCATCAGGTAAATAGGTCCAAACAGGTCAGCTATGTCAAACTAAAAATGTACAACCTTAAAGCTTGAAATCATTTTAATTTTAATACTAGTTTTAGCAACAATGTTTCGAAACAGAATGCTTCGACGTAAACGTTACTTTTCTGTTTTCTTTTGTATATTCAATCCTAGGATAATTATTACATTTTGTAGAATAAAAACATATTTATCTAATAATTTAATATAAGCATCTTTGCACAGGGCCATTTTATTTCCTCAACATGAAGGTCTAAGAGGTGTTTTCAGTAATGAAATTCTGGTGGAGAAATACTGAAACCTTGACTGATCAAATTAAAATATATATTGTCTAAAAATACTGGATCGGCTTAAAAACACCCAATGTGCATTTTAATTGTAGCATGTAAACTCAGTTCAGACTATCACTGCACTGACCTTCACTGTCACCCCCTGGTGGATGGTAGAAAGACAGGCCCAGAGAGATGATGGCAGCGATTTCCAGGATTATAAGCGTGACGTCCTGCAGAGCCTCCCACACCAGCTGCAGGAACGTCTTAGCCTTCTTGGGGGGGATGAAGTTCTGGCCATACAACGCGTGACGTTTCTCCAAATCAACGGGGTTACCAGACAGACCTGCAGACATGAACACAAGACATTAATATTCACGTACAAAAAGTGCATCTTTGCTTTATAAACAAAAGGTTAAAAATAGGGCCTTCTTCAGGTTGTCGAAGTCAAATTCAAACTCAAGACATAAATGAGTTTCAGGTGTGTGAATGAAAGACAAGAGGAAATAATTGCTACACAATACGTATACTGTATGTACAGTATATAGATGAAATCATAACATCTCAAAAAAGATAAGGAAAATTCGAGAGACCTCCTGAAATATGATCTTAATAAGGCAGACTTTTTACAAAACTTGGATCATTGGTTTATTAAGCACTGTGTGTGTTGTAACTTTAAGTGTTGAAATTCAAAAGGTTTCCCTTTGAAGTATTTTTTTACAGTTAATCTCTTATGAATTCAGGGATCACGTCTACCCCTGAGATACACTAAATTCTTTTATCATGGGTCCCAGGATATCATAACGTCGTAACATCATCATGTAGCAGCAGCAGTTATACAGAAGCATGAAGGATGAAGGTACTACAGGTTAAAAAAGGATGTTCCTGCACAATAGAGGAAGTGTGATTAGCACGCTGCATAGCTGTGCACCTATATGCAGTGAGGGCAGAAGATGCACTATAGTTATGAAAAGTCAAGATTTTTGACAGATTTCTACAAACAGTAGTTGTGCAACATGACCTACGTTTGTTACCATGAAAGACTGCAGTATTTCTATAAACAGTATTTATTTGGGCGAATCACCAACAAAGATTTGTTCCACTCAGACAAATTATGTATTTTTGTGTTCATTATTTCCTCCTTTCTGTCTGGGGATTCAGTTGAAAGACTAAAAGGTCAGACTAATGGTGCATTCAGGTGTAGCCACACAGATTGGAAAAAGAATTCCCATGATTAAAAAGTGAATTATAAACAGCTGTAAGTCGTTTTGTCGTTTCCAAGGTTTCACTGGAAGCAGTTGTTCCCCAACCTTTTTTTAGCTTGTCAGCCTTTAAAACGACCCCTTGTCACCAGCTCTATTTTTCCACTGGTTGTGATCATTTGCAAACACAGAGAAAATATTTTTGTGTTTTTTTGAACATTATTACATGCTTGAGGAGCCAAAATTAAAATAAATAAATAAAAAGATAAAAAGGATGTTTTCTGGGGATTTCTCCCCCTGTCAATCATGTCACGACCCTTCAGGTTTATCCGGCGGTGCCTTGTGTTGGTCCCGACTCCCAGGCTGGGAACCACTGGTGTGTGTTGTCTGTGGTACTGATGAGTCCATGGCAGCCTGAACTGACCTGAACCCTCCCTGCTGAACACACAATCTGCTGCTCCACCAGAGCCAAAATGCTCCATGTCAACACAATACCATCTGATCAGCTCGCTCACTTGAAGATACTGAAGACCATTTGGAAATCAAGAATAAAAAAACATATACGAATATATATTGAAAATGACTGATTAGTTGCAGCCCTGTACTCTGACAACCAACAATCAAACAAGTGGAATCACTGAGATTCATTAAGCTAATTGTTTTTTCCAGTTAATTAAGAAATCTGTCTGATGCTTCTCTTCTTGTCCCTCTGCAGAAACATCTCTTACAATCCTCTGCTCCCTGAAGATCAAACAATATCTGTGAGTTATTGATTCCAGGGCTGTGTCTGTCATTTTCCAGCAGTGACTCACATTTAACTGCTCATTCATTCTCCATATAAAGACAATAAAAACAAAAAGATTTCTCAGTCGAGCCAGGCGCTTACAAGGGGGCAGAGCAGGAGGGCTTTGTCTTTAGAGCTCCTTACTTTTTGTTTAAAAATGTTTTTAAACTGGGTGAAAATGAAATTTTATACACACATTTTGCAGTTCTGTTGTGTAACTGTGTTAAGTGTAATGAGCAGCTCGTGTTTATCTTCCCTTTCTAATATTTTTCTGAGCTGAGCTCGTCACCACAAATCCTCATTAACTTTAACTTCAGTAAACAGTGTTTATATGCAGCAACTTCTGGGTGCACAGGGACGGAATGAAAACGAGTTTAACCGAGCTGCTTCTTTTTAATAAATCTCAGTATTTTTCAGTGAAACCTGAAAAGCTGTGACTTCCACTGCATGGCTTTGTGGGCAGCAACATGGCTGCTGTGGATTCTTGGTGGAATTGGGAGATGTGCAGTGGAACGTGATCTGAATGTCAACAGACCGCACTGCCAGGATTTCTCATGAAGGAGGACTCTGTAAGTCAGCACGAACATGAACTGAGGCATGTTTCTGCCTTCACATGTTTATTGGCCTATCATTTTATCTCCTCTTCCTTATGACTTCTCATTAGCCGTCTCTCTTTTCTTTGGAAGCAGTAATCAGGTAAAACTACCAGATACTAATTTCTGCCATTTTGAGAATTTCTCTACTTTCAGATTATTAAACAACCGGTGCGGAAGAATATTTATATTTAACAATTGAAAGCTAAAGGTGATTTTGACAAGAGATTAGATGTAAAAGATGAAATAAGATTAGATGAAATGGGTGACAGGAGAAAACATAAAATGAGAGTGATGTGAAAGGACATGAGGGGAAGTTGAGGTATGGGGGAGTGATCTTCGGTGAGGTGAGATGAAATAAGATGAGATGATATGAAATGACAGGAGACAAGACGAGGTGAGATGAAAGGAGGTCAAATGAGATGAGGTGAGATTAGATGAGGTGATGTGACATTCAATAAGATGGCTCATGGCAATATTAGGTGAGATGAGATGACTTCAGACTTCAAAGTGATGAGAAAAGATAAAACGCAATAAGGTGACGTAATATGAGATGTTGATGGGGAGTGAGATGAGATGAGAGTGGGGTGATTTTAGGTGAGATAGGGTGATATTAAATTAAATCAGGTGATGTGTAATTAGGTGTGGTGTTATGATGCAATGAGACAAGATTAGATGAGGTGAGATGAGGTGCAAGTGACTTAAGTGAGAAGTGGCGAAATAAGATGATGTGAGATAAAATGAGATTAACTAGAATGAGAGGTGATGACATGAGGCGATAAAAGTTGTGATGAGACAAGAAGAGATGAGGTAAGATAAGGTGAAGAGGTTAATTATATTTTCTAATTATATTAGATAAGGGTGGATGCAAGGAGGAGAGAAAGTGAGATGAGACAAAATGAGATGAAATGAGAGGAGGTGAGACAAGATGTCAAAGTGAGACGAGAGGAGGCAAAATGAGGCAAGGTGAGATGAAGTGGTTTTAGATGAAATGCGATGATGAAATGAAATGATGCAAACAAGGATACAAGATGGATGAGGCCAGATTTGGAAAAGTGAGAAGAGACTGGGTGAAGCGAGATGACATGTGAGATTTGAGATGAGATTAGATTACGTAAAATGATGGGGTGTGGTGTTATGAAATGAGATAATAAGAAGGTGACCTGAAATGAGATTAGATGAGGTAGATGAGATCAACTGATGTCAGGATATAAATAAAAAGCTTTTCAAAATAAAAGCTACATTAGGTAGGGTGTGATATTAAAACATGATAATATTTCTCGTCAAGGTGAAAAGTAGTCTCACGATGTGTTGAGTGCCAGGGTGAAATTAGCATAGAACACGCCACCTCCACTTTTAAATCGTTTGAGTGGCACGAACAATATGTACGCAATATTTCAAAATGCACATTTGTGATATTCATTCAAATAAAAGACTATTTTTCCAGACATATACATCGTCATTGAATATTTCATAAAAACTATGTTAAAAAATCTACTCCTCTCATTCTAGTGAACCCAATGTCTCGCCTCATGAGCTAAGTGTATCGTCACAACCCTATATTCTACCATAGACCAGTATACATGAATACATTGCTGTTTAAAAGCAGCAGCTTCCTGTATGACTGACATGTCTGTGGTTCAGAGCAGAAGCAGAAACATCTTCACAATGAGCTGGTGCACAAAGAAGAGGTTTTAAAAATACACCGGTTGTCAAAGTCATCATCAGCAATGTTTCTTCACACTGTGGCTTACTTCAAAGTTTGGTTTGATCATTTTGAAGGCAGTGATTGATGCTGAAAGCTCATGTCACGCTAAAATAAAGAAAAGCAGAATCACAGAGCACCTTTACTGGCTGTTTGAACGATATGAGTCTGTTTTTTCTGGTTTAATGTTGTGATTGCGACGGCGGGTTTCATCTGGTGCCTGCCGTCGGCTCACTGTGTTGGTGAACGTCCCTGTGGAGATGCAGATTAAAGCTCTGAGATGATGTTCCAGCAACAGCAGAGCAGTCTGCTGCACACCCGCCTGTCACAGATGTTTATGAATTTCAGCTTCCAGCAGAAATGGACTTCATCTGTCCCAAAAAAAGGTCTCTTTCCCACACACAGTTTTCACTTTCATTCATTCTCCCTGTGACACAAACTACAAACTACAGCAGAAGGAATTAATGTCCACTTTCATTGTTTAGAATTTTTGATGTCCACTACAAAGATAGGGGACTGTTTATCCTTTTCTCTCCTCTATTTTGTCTGAACTCCTTCCTGTTTCCTTTTCATCTCTGCGGTTCATTCATGTAATCTGGCATACCGGGAAAATGCCCGGTGGGCTGACGCACCTTTGGGGCCGGTGCAACGGAAATTATTTAGGGCAATTGGGTAATTTGCTTTACTGACATCGTGCTGGCCAATGACATCTCTTACTGGCCCTCACCCCCTCTGCTCTCTGTTGCTTGCGTTCTTCAGACGGCTGCTGCCAAATGCGCAAAATACCCAATATGTTTGATACCGGGGCTGCAGTAGCTTCAACATCAGGCACAGGCACTTGAAGGAGTAAAGGAGAGCCGTGGCCACTGCCAGGCAGAGGAGGAGGCGTGTGTTAGCGGCGCAGAGTGACAAAGCGACAGGGCCGAGGGGGAGAGAGAGCAGGAGGAGAGTGGAGGTGAAGCGGTAAGCATGGAGTTGCTCAACCTGTATGGATGGAGAAGGGAGGGAGGGTCCTTTACACTGGGGACGCTGGGGACATGTAGTCACCACTTTTTGAAAGCA